ATAGTTTTTAGTTTGTAGTTTTTTTGTAAATAAAAAAATTTCCAATCGTAATAACTGTAATATCTCCCCAACTATCGACATTTTGCACAGTGCAGATATATCTGTATTTGCGACGGCGTTCAGCTACAGATGCAACCAAGAGTCCGTTTCAACGTCAGGTGAGATCAGAAATATAGCTCAAATTTAATATGCTAGACATATCGGACGCATGTGGTTTCGCCTTTACTGACTAAATTTAATAGCGTTTTCGATTGGCAAAACTCGTACTGCACGAGTGTTGCACGAGAAACTGAAGAAATCCATGTGAAAATTGCTCTCAATGGAACATAAATATTCGTAAATATTTGTTGTCATTTGTCCATAACCTCATTTTAGATTTAGGTAATCGACAAATCTCTATTCTAAAAAATGACAAACGATTTCAGTATTATTTATGATAAACGATGAGGAATATAAATTTGAAATTCCTGTAAAGGACCAATTTTTGGCGTTCAGTTTAATGAGTAAGTGCAACTTTTTGTAAAATAGAAGTTATGGCTAGTTCATATCTTCGCTATCGCTAGATGACGACAAAACACTCTCCCAACGCAAGAAACAAATTCAAATTGTCGCACGTTTGTTTTGAAAATTTGTTAGCTAGCAGCTCCACGAGCTCTCGGGCCTCGTGCGTCGAAATTTGCACTGAGTGCGTAATTGTTGCATCACATTTGCCAATGGAACACAGAAAATTGCCCTAAAATTACCAATAGAACGTAAAAATTGCACTCGTGCAGCACAAGTTTTGCTAATCGAAAAAGCTATAATTGAGGTTTACAATACAAAGAAAACCCATCGCTCCGCCACTGGAAGTGAGAGGCTGTGAATCTATAGTTGACTCTTACCTTACCGGTACTTGAGTTACATACAGCCAATACTGTTCATCTGCATAGTGACTGGTAAGAAATTTGTATAGTTTAATATCAAATGTGATGCTATATATGGACGGAAATGATATGGTACCATTAATTAAAATCGAACCAAAACAAGAAGAAGAAATCCATTCCGATATTCAAGGAAATCTTTTAGTAAGCAATGAAGCATTGGTTACAATCAAGGACGATATTACCATTACTGCACAGTGCTCCAAATTGCTCGATAATGAAGAAGTACAACAAACTGATTTTGGATGGAATATTAAAACTCAAATTTCCGATTTTGAATGTGACTTCGGTCAACATACAACAAATAATAAGCTGCAAGTTAAACAATTAAAACATAATATTTCTGATATCTCTAATTGTGATAATGGAACAAAGAATAAACAACCGATTCAACTGCACATTTTAACATACAAACGTAATGTGCTGCAATGTACTGATTGTGAATACAAGACAAGTCACAAATCCCACTTTAAGCAACACATTTTAAAACATGCCAATTCTAAGGATTTTAAATGTGCTCATTGTGATTATGGAACAAATAATAAACGATACCTTAAGCAACACCTTTTGAAACATACCGATTCTAAAGAATTTAAATGTGCTCATTGTGATTACAAGACAAATAACAAATACTACTTTAAACAACACGTTTTGAGACATACCGATTCTCAAGATTTTAAATGTGCTCATTGTGGTTATGGAACAAATAATGAACGGTATCTTAAACATCACCTTTTAAAACATACCGAGTTTAAAGACTTTAAATGTGCCCATTGTGATTACAAGACAAATTTCAAATACAACTTTAAACGACACATTTCAAATCATACCGATTTCAAAGATTTTAAATGTGCTAATTGTAATTACAAGACAAATAACAAATACTACTTTAAACAGCACCTTTTAAAACATACTGATTCTAAAGATTTTAAATGTGCTCGTTGCGATTATGGAACCAATAATGGACGATCTCTTAAACAACACCTTTTAAAACATATGGATTCTTAACTTTTTTAATGTGCTCATTGTGATTACAAGACAAATACAACTTCAACATCTTTTAAAATGTGCTCATTGCAATTATGAGACGCACTTAAATATTCTTTAGTGTGTGGCTTCATGAAAGGGAGGTCTAGATGTCTTTACGTTAATAACATTTAAAATGTTTGTGGATGTGGAAACATTAAAGTAGTGATTATCTATTGCTACAAATAAAAATATAGATGCTTTGGGCCCCTCCTTCTGTTTACAAATATTGAAGTCACATTTCACTTCAGTACAGAGGGTCACTGTGGGTACATGAATTTCTGAAAACCAAACAAGTTTAGCTTTGAATTAAACAGCTTTATAAGAATAGATCCAACAAGTTTACTTCCAGGATTTTCTTCTCGAAGTTTTAGCTGTTGGAAGAAAGAATTAGGAATTTGATTACAGACCGAGAAATGTATTAATTAAATGTACCTACTAATGGCAGACGTTTATAATAAACTTTTGTTTCTTGTCTGTATATTTTCTCTGTTTTCCAATTATACAGGGCCTTCACTTCAACATGAATCATTAATTGTATATACCTACCTTTGACAAGAAGCAAAAACACTGCGTGCGCATGAGTCAGACGGAGACAACTCGAGCGGAGTCAGGACATACATGGAGCTAAAAAATTGATTGTCATATCAAATTGTGACTGTATATCGATAACACACCAAACTATGTCTATATAGAAGCGAATGTCCACAATTTCTCTTACTTTAAGCAGACACGACAAAAAAAGTTTAAACTCCTATAGCAATTTAGTCCCAATATGGCGACCGGAACCAACGACCAATCAAAAACGAGATACCCGGTTTGTCATCACTGTTCTAAATTGAGTCACTGTCGTTCAACCTATATCAGCGTGTCACATTAAATTTACAAAATATAATAGAATTCATTTTTATTAATTCATTACAAAACAAAATCAAGGGAAAATAATATTCTAGGAAGCGAATGCATTTTCAAACATGGCGGTGGTTCCTGTGACGTCATTCGAATAAATACTTCATCTGCGCGTACTTGACATATTTGCTTTCCCTTGTCTTATTGTAACGGGCGATCAAAAATGAGTAGCTGTCGAGTCGCCTTTGGAAGTTCAAGTTAAGTACGATTTCCCATGTAAACAAAAATTCCAAAGGTAACTCGACAGCAACTCATTTTTGATCGCATTGTATGTACCATAGATATAACAGTAGGTGTTAGAGGGAGATAACGAACAACCAAAACGGTAAATGTATTTTAGTAATTCATAACCGGTTCCTCCACATTTGGGCTTTTGTTTATTTTATCTATCAATGGGTTATGCATATTATAATTGTAAAGTGAGAGTTGCTAGTGACGGAAGGGTACATGGTAAAATTAAACCCTCCATTGTAAACCTTCCCCTAGCTATCTAAATGGCAGTGTTTGCAATTTTTGTTTTTCATTAAAATTCCAAAGTAAAACCGGTGGTTCATTTTGAAGTGAAAGTTCAGGATAAATGGAAAACGGAGGAAATATACGATTTTGCAAAAATCAAACAGTCAATTGATTAATAAACGCAAAAATTTATTATTTCTTTATCTTAAAAAGCCACATGAGTTCCCGAAACTAAGCAAATTGCAATTTCTAATATCTTCGAACAGCTAAACGAAAACCTCCGAACGATAACTCAAGGTGATTGGTTCCCGCATCCTCAAACATTTAGACGCCTAGAGCTCCCTCTCGTGAAGCTACCACACACTAGAGAATATATAACTTAAGTTAATTTTGCTCCTTCTAAGCGGTTTGTGTGCGTTAAAAGGTGTCGTTTAAAATGGTGTTTAGTATTTGTTCCGTAATCACAATTAGGACAATTAAAATCTTTAGACCCGTTATGTTTGAAAAGGTGTAGTTTAAGAGAGGATTTGTTACGCGTCTCGTAATCACAATTAGCACATTTAAAATCTTTAGAATCGATGTGTGTTAACTGGTGTCGTTTAAAGTGGTATTTGTTACTTGTCTCGTAATTACAATTAGCACATTTAAATTTTTTAGAATCGGTATGTTTTAGAAGGTGCCGTTTAAAGTATTCTTTGTCGTTTGTCTCGTAATCGCAATTAGCACATTTAAAATCTGTAAACACTTTATGTTTTAAAAAGTGTCGTTTTAAGTAGTATTTGTTATTTGTCTTGTAATCACAATCTGCACATTTAAATTTTTTTAAATCGGTATGTTTTAAAAGGTGTCGTTTAAAGAAACATTTGTCATTCGTTTCGTAATCACAACTGACGCATTTAAATTCTTTGGAATCGGTATGTCTTAGAATATGTCGTTTAAAGTACTGTTTGTCGTTGGTCTCGTAATCGCAATTAACACATTTAAAATCTTTAGACACTTTATGTTTTACAAAGTGTCGTCTTAGGTAGTATTTGTTATTTGTCGTGTAATCGCAGTTAGCACATTTAAAATCTTTAGACTTGGTATGTTTTAGAACGTGTTGTTTAAAGTTGTTTTTATAACTTGTTTTGTAATCACAATTAGCACATTTAAAATCTGTAGAATCGGTATGTCTTAAAAGATGTCGATTAAAGTAGTATTTGTTATTTGTCTGGTAATCACAATTAGCACATTTTAGCACATTAGAAAGTTTATGTGTTAAAATGTGTCCTTTAAAATATTGTTTATTATGTGTTCCATAATCACAATGAGCACAGTTAAAGCCTTCTGAAACATTATGCTTTAAAAGATGTCCTTTAACTTGCAACTTATTGTTTGTTGTGTGTTGACCGATGTCACATTCAACATCATTGTAAATTTGTGTTTTAATATCCCATTCACTATAAGTTCGTTGTTTTACTTCTTCATCGAGAAAATTGGAGCACTGTGCAGTAATGGTAACTTCGTCCTTTATTGCAATCAATGCTGCATTGGGGACTATGATGTTTCCTTGAAGATCTGAACGGATTTCTTCTTCTTGTTTTGGTTCAATTTTAATGAGTGGCACCACATCATTTCCGTCCATAGCTAGTATCAATAACGTAAACAGTTCCAGTCTTATGTATCGCTCAAGTGCACAATAAAACAAGACTAGAACAAAGCATTCAGGCGCATGCGCTCGTTAAGTCATTAGAATAATCAAGCTCTACCATTTCATAAAGTAATGGGGTTTGTGTAGTCCTACCACTATAAAAGGGTATGGTGTGTTACGGATATGATAAAATTTGTTCAACCTGTGTCAAACGCTGTCAAACGCGTCAAGTTTCTCACATTATTTACAACACACACAAAACGAAAATCAAGTGAACTTATTGTACCATGGATTCCATGAGGGCCGGGAGATTAGTCACTGCTTGCCACCCTGACAATTAACAGTTTTTGCTTTATTCATTGGTTTTTGCTATACCTATTGATTCTATTTGGTTTTGCGTGGTTGGTGATGTTTGTGTTAACAAATGTCTGCTACCATCGTTAAAATCGAATCTAATAGAGAAGAGGAAATAAATACATTCATTGAAGAAAAGGTGCTCCTTGCAAATGATGTTTACGTCCCTATAAAGCGGGAAGTAAATGAGATCGTTCTCAGTACAGTTCATTCAAATGTCGCACAAAAGGAAGATAAAAATACGCACAACGTCCTGTTAACATACAAGAAATCCAAGGATTTAATATGTGCACAGTGTTCTTTTGCAACGCTAAATAAATTCCAATTTAAAAAACATCAGTTGGTGCACAAGGCTACCAAGGATTTTAAGTGTGCCCAGTGCGACTATGCATCCCATCGAAAGTACAATTTGAAACAACATTCTTTGACGCACGAGACTTTCAAAGAGTTCAAATGTTCCGAGTGTGATTATACAACCAAACATAAATGGTATTTGAAAACACATTCGTTGGTACATCAGACCACAAAAGATTTAAAATGTGCTCAGTGTAATTACGCAACCAATAATAAATTGCATTTGAAAAAACACTCAGTGATACACAAGGCCTCAAAGGATTTAAAATGTGCCCTTTGTGATTACGGAACTAATAATAAATCCAATTTTAACATACATCTCTTAAACCACAAGGTTTTCAAGGAATTCAAGTGCACTAATTGCGATTATGAAACGAATAATAAAAATTACCTTAAAAGACATATGATAATACACAAAACTTCCAAAGATCTACAATGTGACGGGTGTGATTATGCAACAAATAGTAAAGTTCAACTTAAGAACCATGCGTTAACACACCTGGCTACCAAAAAATTAAAATGTGCCCTGTGTGATTATTCAACAAATTACAAACCCAATTTTATGACACATCAGTTGATACATAAATCTTCCAAAGATTGGAAGTGTGCCCAGTGTGACTACGCAACCAGTAATAAATCCTATATGAAGAGACATATGTTAAAGCACAAAACTAAAACGGATTTCAAATGTGCCCGGTGTAATTACGCAACGAATCATAAATCCCATTTTAAGTGTCATGTATCAACACACCAAACTATCAGAAAGTACAATTGTGCCCTTTGTGAATATGCAACTAATAAAAGATACGATTTAAAAAAGCACGTTTCAAAACATAATAGTTCAAATTATATACAATGTGCTCAGTGTGATTACAAAACCTGTAACAAATCCCATTTTAGAACACATCTCTTTAGACACAAGGTTTTCAAAGATTCTAAGTGTGTTTTTAAATGTGCCCATTGTGATTATGCGACCAATAATAAATACCATCTTAAAAGACACCTCTCGGCCAAGAAACATGTTTCTAAGAAAGATATGTAGTTTTGTTTAATTACGTTTCACTGGTTCAGCGGATCACATCGTTAGTGGACACCTTATAACTTCAATCACGAAACTGTTTTGCAATGCACAACTGATCAAGAAACGTATTAGTACTTACGTAAAAGTTCCTATAATGTTTTTGTGTATGAAACACATCAGGGAATATTATTAATTACAGCTTAATCAGTTAGTTTTCAATGAACGTTTGTTTCTTTTACAAATTATAATAAAGACTGCAGAAACTGTACCCGAAGTTTAATTTATATATTTGTTTATTTCTTCTTAACTTTAAGCTAGCATTTCTCGCACGAGGGTCAAGTTACCCGTTCCAGGGGTAGGATCCTACTCTAAACTCTTAGGTTCTGAATCTATGTGCGATACCAGTTGCGTCTTAAATTGTTCTATACTACTCCTGTGTATTTACTCTACGAATTAGGATCAGCTAATACCCTCCAGACCCCCCGGTTCTACATTCTTCCCCAAAAGAGCACATCCAATATAACATATCATTTTTGGAAAGGAGCCGTAAAACTAACACGGGGAGCTCGTGGGGTATGGAATCCTAATCCATTGTAAAAAAAACTACCGGAAGAGCCCTTAGGGCGCAGTGTGATGTCGAAGAGCGTCGCCGGGGGATAGGGTGGATATGGAATCCCCCCCCAATATACGAAGTTTTTATGATAATTGCAGGGAAGAGAACATTGAATCGTATTCTCCTCGTGGAGGAACGTTATAATATGTTCTTTCCTAGAACTATCACAAGATTTTGAATACTGGGGTGTATTCCATATCCCCCAGTTCTTTATTATTCTTCTAAGCGTATCCAACATAACTCCACCAGGAGTCTGTGGAGTGTGGATTCTATTGTTTTTGTGCAGGAGTATATCGTATGGTATTCTCTCCATTCCACTCCGACAGCTTTCCGGATTGCAACCTTTCAGATTTGTCCTTTTCTTCGTTTGCGTGTCTGTTTTTTGTTCTATGTTTCCTTCTACGTCTTCTCTTAGATCTTTTTTTATTGACTTTTTTTGGCGTACTTTATTTTGTTTTTTCCTTATTATTTAACTTGCTATTTTTCTTTGTCTGCGTCTGTGTAACTTCTTTGTCTTCGGCCTTCTTTCATTATTTTCATCTTTACCTTCGTCTACATACCCGACTCACTTATTGCTCTTTGCTTTCATCTTGATCGTCTTCCACTTTTCACCTCTTCCTTCTTGTTACACTTCTTATGCACCTCTGTCGTTCTTTTATTTTCTACATTATCTTCTTCTTTTGCTTGATTTTATTTATTCTGCATTTTGTCTCGTATTTTTCTCCTTGTCCTTCGGAGAATTTTTTTCGTCTTGTTCATCTACTTAATCATTTAATCCTTTTTGGTTTTATTAGTGCACGTATGAATAAATTAGTCTATTAATTAGTTGGCAGCTTAATTAGTCAAGTAATGAAGCCTACTGGTCTATCGTCCTCCATTTTGTCTTATTATTCTTTGTTTTCTTTATCTTCGTCTTCTTCCTGACCATCTCCTAAAATTGATCTCTTTTCCCTTTTTGATTGTTTTCGTGTGTCTGTTTCTAGTGTTATCTTCTTCTTTACCTTAGCTTTTTCTTTGCCATTTTCTTTGGTTTATTCTTAATTTTCCTTTCCTTTGTATTTTTATGCGCCTCTATCTCAGTTCCCTTTTCTGACCTTTTTCTTCTTCATTTTTCTTTCGTCTTATTGTTCGTCAACTTATTTATCTTCTCTTTTTGTCATCGTTGCTTCTTCTCTTTTGCCTTTTCCGTACTCCTCTCTGTGGTCATCTTCTTTATCTCACGTTACTTGTTCCTCTTCCTTGTCATTTTTTCTGCAGTTCTTTCATGGTTTTCATTATCCTATTCTTGTTCGTCTTCTCCTTGTGTTCCCGCGTTTCCTTAGCTTTCTTCTTGGTCATCAATTCATAATTCGTATTTATCTTTACATTCGTCTTCTTTCCTTCTAGTTCTGTACTGATCTTAACCCACCCCAGGCTCGAAGTGAAGATGACAGATTTCACGGCAAAGTGGCAACGTTGCAATCCCAGTGTCAAAACACGGTTCCCGCTCAAAATTCAAACAAAAGAATGGCACGTGATCCGATCGTCTAAGGTAGGGCCCCCTTACGTTACACGAAGCTAATACAATAACTCGGTACCCAGTCGGGCAGGAACACTCAAATAAAACGCTGTAATGTCTGCGAGTTTATTTATTATAAACTTATTCCGAAAACCACGGAATTTGGATGTGGTACATTAAAAGCAAAGCAAGCAAAACCTAAAGGTGCCGCACTCTCACAAAAGCAGACTACCAAGGAGAAAAAGAGCGCGACTTGAGAAAAAACCTTGGCCTTGAATAAAACCCAAACATGTTAATCACAAGCAAATTAAAACACCAACCACCTGAGCAGAACACGTAACACTGCCTTAATTAATGAATGAATTCAAGTAGCAGGGTACGTTTGAACAGCATGCGTAGAGTATTCGTCACAACATGTCATGTACTTTTCTTTAATCGCGGCTAGAAGGCAACTCACTTTTTAGTTAGTCATTGGGTGGTGAACCTGGTTATTGGTTAGGTTTGCGCCAGCGTCTTGCTTGATTGCCCTCCTGTTTCACGGTTATATTGCATATTTGCCTATTAACCCGTAGCGCAGTTAAGATTGTTAGGGGCAACACATTCATGCATTTATTGATATAAGTCACCTTACTAGTTATTCATATCATTATATACCGAATAGAGTGGAGTGAAGTTTGTAAAAATATGTCTGATCTAGTATTCATGTTGTGACGTAACAATAGGCAGTTATGACAATACACAGTGTGCTCGTGGAGCCCCCAATTATGCTCAGTTTCCACATAATGACATTGGTATAAACCCCAGACTTCCGGAACTACTACCTGTACTTCGTAAAACTCCTCTGAGATTGGCCACGTAACGACACAAAACTGAAGATGGTTAAGAGATGGGTCGCCGCCCTGGGTAGGACGGCCTTCGGTTAGCAGCACTTCGTCCCTAAAGTTGGAGGTTGTGCTTTAGCTCTAGAATACCTTTCTATTCTAGCGTCTGAGCTCCCTCTCACGGTAGGAAGATATGAGTTACATACAATATAAGGCACACACATTCGCGAATGTTACGAGTCACCCTAAACTAAATACACCTAGCATTATGGATGCCCTACTTCACGGAAGCCAAGGTTCTACATAGGTACACACCCGTGTACCGTGTAACTGAGTCAAACGTGGTCTAAACCTGAGATATCGTAGACTTCGACAAGCACATGGATATTAGTTAACACCTCGCATGTTGTAAATTACATATTAGCACAATGGTAGTTGGAAAATATCTGATATAACAAATGGCACAATTCATATAAGTGCATAAGAGTAAACTACATAAAATACTTCACCCGACACCAAAGTGGTTGAATCTTACGCACAAACACGAAAACAAAGCTAAACTCTATGAATACAACTCGAAATGTAATAATCCCAACACCAACAAGCTTTAACAATCAACAAGTGACACCAAGCCCCCAAATCCAAAACATCCTCCAGAAATTACGAAAAAAATATCGACAGGTGGTGATGGCGGTGGCTCATGTCCCCAGAATCTCCAACTACTTGACCGGTTGCATCCGACGTTGAAATATACAGGGTATTTAAAGGGATATAGACATCTCAGTTTAATTAAAAAGGGTATTAATGTACGATTTCTGATATTAACTTTAAAGAGAAAACATTTAATTAAACTAATCAGTTCGCCGTTATCTTTATAAAGGGTTATAAAAGATACATACTGGACGCCACCAGCGCGTATTAAATTTGAACAATCCTCGATACGGAAAACAAAAAAAATCAAAATCGGTCGAATTCTACCTTAAATAACGAACCCAATTATAATATACCCAAATAATCGAAAAACTAGATTTATAGTCTAGTCGCCATAAATATAGCATAGCTAATAAAAAAATCGCGCGGTTGTCAGATCGTCGTAAGTTGTATATATAGGGTGGAACCTTATAACCCATATACCATTTTGAGATTGGACCTTGACACATTTATATGTATGTCATTTTACTAGTTTTTCACATCCTTTTTGTACCGAATGCAATGACTAGGTAGTTGCAAAAACGTGTAGGTATATACTCATGTAATGATCTAACAATCAGTAGTTAAGATCAATGTGCTGGATGAATCACCCACTTACAGTTAAGTTTGCACATAATGACATTGGTCCTTTCTGTAACTACTATTGGTATCTCGTAATACTCTCCTGACAGTCAATCACACAACACAACTGGTCTAGTGCTAATGATTGCACGTCGCCGATGGCTACGACAGACTGAATTGTTGTACCTTAGTCGCTACGTCGAGAGCCCGGAATGTCTGTTTTAGCATTCCGTAAGGGAGTGGTTATCCTGTTACTCCTCTTCTAAACAAAAACAAAAATATAACTTTATTTGTCAATACAATATACACATAATGCTGAAACATAAATCACTAAATTGCAATACTTTGGCACAGCCTAAACCACCTACCCTAAACTAGTAACACCAATTTACAGAAATACTTTAATAAGGAATTTGATTCTGATAGAACTGAATAAAATCGTACGTCTTCGACCTGAAACTTTGATAGCTGTTGCGAATGACCTGCATCATGTAAGCGGCCGCTTCCTTATCTGTTGCGTTCGGCGAGAAGCGCGTCCTCAATCGATTGATGGTTTGACCCCTAAAGCAAGGCAGGCCCGTGTCCAACATTAAGGATACGAGAGAGATGATCGCTTCCTGATGCGGCCTAAAAACGCGACGTGATCCAGCGCTCGATCAATAGATACCTACCTCACAGCCAGATACGCCTGAATGCACAGTTCACAGAACCACTTAAACGGTTCCGCGTCCATCACGCCTCCCATGATCATGACCATCTCGTTGGTTAATTTAATGTCGGGCTCGAAGCCCAAGTTCCCGCCCGGTGACGATTCGAACATGAACCCGAAGTCAATGTGGATGAGGTGCCCGTCAACGTCCAACATGATATTGCCGTTGTGCCTATCTTTAATTTGCAGTAGGAAACCGATGACGCTGTACGCCGCCATTGACATGACGAAGTTCCTGCGCGCGCTTTGAAACTCCTTCGACCCCTCGTCGCCGTATTTCTTCAGGAAGTACTCGTACATGCCGATGTCGGTCTGTCGACCCAACTGATCGCGCGATTTCGCGTTTGGAACGCACTCGATTACGCCGCACTGAAAACGAGAACGGTAGAGGAGTGGCTTTCGAGTGAGACACCTACGCCTGGTGCGGTGGCGACGACGCGATACGGGAAAAGGTACAGATCTAAGCCGACCAGTTGGAAGATGTTCTTAAATATGCTGATCACTTGCAGCGCCAACATGTCCTGGCGAACGTCGTCTCCCACCTTAAAGATGGCGGCCTGCCATGTTTCCGGTCCCATTGACATCGCACTGTTCTGTAAGAAGTTGTCGCGGTGAATTCAGATAATGAAAATAAAGAATTCGCCCCCCCCCCCACCCGCTTCCCAAAGGACAATCTATAAAATAATCATAAGCAAAAAAAACTGATCAAACATAATAACACGTGCGGGAATGGATACGCATCCTCAACCGTGATCAAGAATGCGTTGCGATTTACCGTAGTTAAGCTCTGCTGATTGCTCGAAACGGCCATAGCAATATTCTCCAGTTCGTTTATTCCGCACCTCGCGACCTTGAATCTCGCCAGGTACGGCGCCTTGGCGGCACTTTGCATCGGCGTTCCGCTCTTGTAATCGATGTCCAACACCATCGCCTCCGGATTGCTCGGCAGATAGCAGCCGGCCTGCACCTTGATCTTGGCGAGCGCGGTCAGGCAGGCCTGCTTGCGCTCGGGCCCCTTCGGATACGGCCTGATCTCGCCGCTAATGTTCGTTATCTTGTCAAAGAAGTCGAACTCTCGCTCGTAGAACTGCTTGGCCGGGCCGGAGATCGACGAGAGGATCTTGTTCGACAGCGAGTCGAGCACGTCGTATAGAACGACGTCCTTTTGCTGCATTTCTTCGTCGGTATACATGTTCGTTTTCATATTCCAGATTATTTGGTGCGCGACCACTTGCGAGATTTTCGCTATGTACTTAATATATTCGACTAGATATCCCATCTGAAAATGACGTTTCGCCATTACACGGTATTCCAAGTACTTTACTTACAGTGTCGTGCCTAAGTGCCTGAACAATCTGAGGAATGTACAATAATACTGCGTCGGGGGGATACGAACGTAACGCTTTTATGGCGTACTGGGCGGTAATCGGATGTGGAGGGTACTGACGACTGAAGTACGACAGCGCCTGTATGGGCGACACCTTCCCCCAGGTGAGCATATGAACCAACTTCGGATTATCGTTTAGGATCGTGTCCGTTGTCGCCAGATACTGTAGCGCTTCCGGTATGTGACCGACGCTGATCGGCTTTTGGATCACTTGGTGGCGGACCTCGTTGATGATCGGATCCAAATTCTTGAGCCTTACCGGTAGGTAGACGGCGAGCGCGGGCGATATGTCCCACGCGAGGCGCGTGTAATCCTGCCACTGCTTGTCGGTGATGGTCTTCGCACGCCACGCCGCCATGTTTCCCGTGCCGGGCATCATTAGTTCGGCCCGCGAGCTCGGATTGTACCAAACGATGAGAAATTCAATTTCGACCGCCTGCGAAAAAAACAGCTTTACAGTAGTAGCACAGTGTACAGAATAGACTATTGACCCCCCCCCCCTCTTGACTTCTACAATCGATTATTCTTTCCCGCCCATATACGGTTAAGTATATACAACATCTTTAAACACTAACGGGATGTACCGTTACAGTACCCCCTCCTTGTTTTTATAAGTGAATAACCTAATAAAATTACAAAAACAACAAACTAACGCTAATTTCTGTTCTGAATATCAACTATTTAACGATTCCTGAATCCTCTATCATGGGCCTTGAATCTTTATTCTTAAGTTTGTCCCCAATTTCGAGTTTTGAGCTTTAATTCGTGAGCATTGTAAATCTTGAGTGCTCTCGAATCTTGGTTTTGGGTCTTACGCCTTATATTGTGAGTATTGAGTCTTGAACTGTGAATCATGTATTTCGAGATTTGCGAATGATGTCTTGATTCTTGAGTTTCGGTGATTGACTCCTCAAAACTTTCCCTCGTCCCTCGCCCTTGAGCCTTAAGTATTCTTTTTCGAATTTTGGGTCCTCATTGTTGAACCTTCAGCTTTAGTTATTGAGTCTTGAGTATTGAATTCCGAACCTTGAGTCTTAAACCTTGTTTTGAGCCTTGAGCACTATAATATGAACCTTGGATGCTGAACTATAGATCCTTAATTTTGGGTTTTGAGCCTTTAGTCATGGGGTGTGAACCTTTACCTTCGAGTGTCGAGTTTTGACTTTTGATCATTGAGCCTTGACTGTTGAATCGCGTGTGTCTTGAGCCTTGAAGACGGTATCTTGGTTATTGAGTCTTGCGTAAGGAATCTTGGGTCTTGAAACTGGAGTTTTCGTCCTTTAGCATTGAATGTTAATGTTAGGCCTTGTGTTATGAGTCTTAATTTTTGAGTTATAAGCTTTAATTGTTGTATTGAATTTAGAACATTGAGTTTCGAACCGTAATAATTGAGCCTTGAGTCCTCAACTTTATATGACTCTTGAATCTTGCACCGTAAAACTTGGTACTCCTATCTCGTGACCATGTAGCAATGCTAGATTTGATCCGTATCTAAACTTTCATTTTTTTCATTGTCTGGATACATTACTACCAATTGGCGGCTACGCCCGACGTCGTCGAGTTCACTTGTTTTTCTACCTTCCCGTCGCAGCGATTAGAACTGGCAACACGGGCTCGCTTCTCTACTCAACACAGCTTTATTCTAAATGCGCACCGTTTTTGGCTTTATCTCCAGACATACTTTCTTTCACGTTTACTATGAAGCGGTATAAAGGAAAGAAAGTAATCATCTGATCTTAAAATAGAATAATGATTGTGAAATTCAGTATATGATCGCAGAGAAAAAAAAAGCTTATCTAACATTTTTCCATTCTTGACTCATCTAACTTTACCCCAGGTCTCTCTGCAAAAATCGCAAAAGTAACATGACCCGGAGGTTCATTATACAACCTGATCCTCAAATATTTGATAACTTCCTGAATCGTTCCTCTAACTCAATTTCCTTTCCTTTCCTTATTGAAATAAGTCGCCGTCCTACCGCTTCAATGGATTTACACTTAATGCAATTAATTCCAGATGTCCCTAATCTGTCTTAACGTATTGTAACTAAACAATAAATCAATTAAAATACAAGGCGATTATTTAAACAAAATTGAACATCTAATAATTCAAATACTATGATCGTAATTGTGTTCAATCTAAATTAACGATCACATTTAACAAAAAAATGAGATTTACATTATAAAGGATGACCTATCATTCCTAGCGATGCTGATTGATATAGTTTTCTGTTTATACCTATAAGGGCATCTCCCCCCCCCACCCGCGATATACTTACTAGCAGCCCCAAAATTAGATTCCGTTTTTTAATGTAGCACTTGACGAAGTTATCGGCGACGGGAATGCGCTTCGATTTCGCCGATCGCTTACTGAGCGTCGCGGTGCTGCTCGACAACGGTACCGTGTTAATCCAACCGGTCGTCGGTCGATTGAACTCGTTTGGTCTCGCCATTTCGGGCGTGTGCAGCGAGGCCATCAGCGGCGTCGTCGTGCTCGTGCCGATGTCTAGATCTGAAAGCGCGCGAGCTTTTAGTACTGACTAAAGTCACTAGATATAGAAAGTATCGCAATCATCCGCCATTTTTGGGCAAATTTCCTGCCAACTTAAAAAAATTGACAAATAAGATCTGATAGCTGTAATTTTTTCTAACCTAACTTCATAGTACTGTCATGTTTTATAAAAATATATACAGATATCTCCAAACAGGTGGAACAATCCCTAACATTAAAGTTACTAGAATCTGGTAACTTCCACCATTTTTGGGCAAAAATCATGCGTTCTCTCTCTAACACACGAGCCCAATGGATTGCGGTACTTTCTATATTTAGTGACTTTAGTACTGACAGTAGAAGGACGCCACCTACCGCCCACGTCGCTCGCCTTCAGGTACTTCTTATCGGCGTACATGTTCTGCCAGAATCGTATTAGCGCGTCGATGTCTTTGCGCAGGTCCTCCGCGTCCTGTGTGGGGCAGCAGACCGGCCTGCAGAAGTAGTCCAGGCAGCTGCAGTAGATGCGTTCCCTCAGGACGTTCTTCGCGAGGTTTTTCGGGAGTACGTCGCCTTGCAGCAGCGACAGGCCGCAAGCTAAAAGTCTAAAAGAGAGTTGTAGGGCCGAGGGGTTGACGACTTACTTAAAGCGCACCCCGACGGCGGACACGTCGCGAGTTTGAGGGGGAGGATTCGTGCCGACCGTCATCGTGAGCGAACGGTGGATCAGCATGGCGAACATTTCGACCTTTTCGTAGCTGTTGTACTTGGCGATGTCGATCATGTCGCTTATGAATTGCAACCAAATTCCGTGCGGTTTTACGAAGGGCGGGTTCGGCTCCAACTTGCACCCTTCGTGTACGGCCAGCGGGTTCACCTCCGGGGGCATGACGGAAAACAACCCCAACCGCTTTTGTACGGTACAATTCCACGCCGAAATCATGTCCTGTAGGAAGCGCATCTCCAAATCGGGACGGGCGGTCACTAACCACTGCCAACATTCGACGGCGGTCCGCATCGCTTTAGAGGTAAATAATTCCACTTGCGACCAGGCGATGCAGTGCAGTAATTTGCGGACGAGCACCGCGTTCGATATCAACATGGCGGTCGCGCGCCACAGCGCCTCCTGGTGAATGGAATCCGACTTCTCCCTACAAGCCGTCCACACGTTCTCGATCAGCTTCTCCGTAAGCTCGATGCGTGCTTGCGGTCCAAGAACGTGGAGCATTCCTGCGACCTCCCCGTGATACTTGCTGCGTAAATTCAAGGCGGACGCGAAACTCGACGCGTCGCTTTTGACGCAGTTCGGTCGACGCTCCAAGATGTTCACGTTGAGCGACGCGCTCGTCGTGTTCAGGCTGGTGTATTGGAGGACAGTTTCGATGCCCAAGGCCAATCCGGAGTGATGCCACATACCCGACCACGGTATCTGGTTTAAGTACTCCACGATGTACGATCGGGTCCATTGGGGCGCCCAAGTCATTGCCTGCATCATGATTCGCTTTGAGTAATCCGCGAAGTCCTTAACGATCATCTCGCGCGCCTCCAACGTGTCCATCAGCTGAATGGAGTAGGGCGTCGATGGAATTTTCAGCGTGGGCGTCTCCTGATTGTGATTAATCTGTAGAGAGTGCGACAGCACTTGTAGAATATCCAACATCGTCCACAGCACCCTAAAAACAACACCGTAAAAGTGCACCAAGGCGGGCGAGGAGTTACCGTCGATTCCACAACAAGTACGGAAACTTGTCGACGAGGCTAACCAAGAACTTATCGGCGATTCGACGAATCTGCTTGTGGTTGTGATTGAAGTGCACGAGCAGAAATTGGGCGTGCTGCTCCAGGTCGGCCTCGCGCGCGGCGTCCTTGGGTTTATTCGCCATCGCCTCGAGGAACTTTTCAAAAAGGCGCTCGGAAACGGACGACACGCACTGCCACATGCCCATCTTGTCCTTCTGCAGCGCGTAATCGCACAAATACTCCATAATCGGTTGGAGACTCGGCTCGCCGGAGTGCTCAACTCTACAGTTACACAAGAAATAAGTGGACGTTCGTTGTTTACTGCAATTCTCACGTGACAATTTTTCTCCTAGGGTAATAGTATATATTATTTCTGCTTAGGGATCTCGTAAATAATTACGATCTTAAGAGCTCATGACGTTACGTTTACTTTTGTTAGAAGCGTTACCGAGTCCGCGCATGCGCGGATTTAATTTTCACTATAAATGTGCTGAGTTTGTTTTTATTTGAATCAGTTATGGTTAAAATTTCAATAAAATATAAGACAGTTGATATTGCGCAGTCTGCGCATGCGCACATTACATTTTTACTGTTTATTACTTGATTGATACTGTATACGATACGTTTGTCTTTACTAGAAGCGTCAATGGTTAAAATTCAAACAAATTCTCCTTAAATACGAAAGTTGTTATTGCGCAGTCTACGCATGCGCATAACTGAATTTTAGTGTTTGCGATTTGTTTACCTTTCTTGGATAAAATTGTCCTTGACCATATTATACATACATTGTATATACGCGCATATTTCATTTTTACTATATGCGATATGTCTGCCTTTACCAGAAACATTTGTGGTTAAAATTTCAAAATAGTATATTTCATAATGAGTGTCGAAAGTGACTGATATCATGCGAGTGCCGTTAGACAAACGAGGCGAAGGCGAGTTTGGCTAATAAGCATGAGCATGATAGTCACTTTCAACACGAGTCGTGAACACTATTTTTTAGACGACTTGAACAATAAAAGCTTTCACTAATATCCCTAATATTTCAAGAATATGTTACGCCATTTTTTTTAAATTTTACTGTGTTGGTTGGGTACGACCGCGGGTTGCTATGGATTGTTAATTGTTTTGTTTTGCTAGTTCTGTCATACAGTGCAGCGATTATTACTAAAACGAATTTTAAGTGGTGCGTAAAATGGAGAGCGATAAAGAAGACTATGTTTTACAACTCACACCACCATCAGTAGTTGAAGCGGCCAGCGAGAATACTTTGGTGTTGCTCCAAACGAAATCGCGACTGCGTTACGAAGATGCATACACCAAATTTATGGAATGACGCAAGATATCCCAAGTGAAATCGTCATTTTCGGAAAACGTTTTGCTGACCTTATTCAGAATTAAAATCTCTATGGGTGTGGTATACCCCCCCCCCCCCAACCAAAGGAGTAACTCAATATTAAACTATTCTCATTTGTAGCTGGGGGATATTCCATACCCCCCGGCGGTGGTATATTCCCCCTTATTCACAATAAAATACACTACAGGTATGGTATACCCCCCAGCCAAAAAGGAGTAACTTAAAATTAAACTACTCTGATTTGTAGCGGTATTCCATATCCCCCAGGTGGTATATTCCCCCTTATTCACAATAAAAAGCACTACGGGTATGGTAATACCCCCCAGCCAAAAAAGAGTAACTTAAAATTAAACTACTCTCATTTGTAGCTGGGTGGTATTCCATACCCCCCCAGACACCCCGGTGGTATATTCCCCTTCATTCACAATAAAAAGCACTACGGGTATGATATACACCCCAGCCCGAAAGGAGTAACTGAAAATTTAACTACACTCATTTGTAGGTGTGCAGTATTCCATACCCCCCAGAGATATATTCCCCCTTATTCGCAATAAAAAACACTACGGGTATGGTATATCCCCCCCCCCGCCAAAAAAGAGTAACTTAAAATTAAACTACTCTCATTTGTAGCTAGCTGGGGGGTATTCCATACCCCCCAGACCCCCGGTGGTATATTCCCCTTCATTTACAATAAAAAGCACTACGGGTATGATATACCCCCCAGCCAGAAAGGAGTAACTGAAAATTTAACTACACTCATTTGTAGATGTGGAGTATTCCATACCCCCCAGACATATATTCCCCCTTATTCACAATAAAACGCACTACGGGTATGGTATACCACCCCGCCAAAAAAGAGTAACTTAAAATGAAACTATCATTTGTAGCTGGGGGGTATTCCATACCCCCCAAAGGTACATTCCCCCTTATTCACAAAAAAAAATCGCTGCGGGTATGGTATACCCTCCAGGGAAAAACGGAGGGCCATTAAATTACTCTCTTTTGTGGTTGGGAAGTATTCCATGCCCTCCAGAGGTATATTCCCCTTTATTCACAAAAAAAATCGCTACGGATATAGTATCCCCCTCGCTTAAAAGGAGTCACTTAAAATTAAACTACTCCCAGACCCCTGGTGGTATATTCTCCCATATTCAGAATAAACATCACTACGGGTGAAATAACTTCCAATCGAAAAGGAGTAACTCAAAATTAAACTACTCTCTTTTGTAGCTGGGGGATGGGGGGGGGTGTATTTCACACCCACCAAACCCTTGCCCCCTCCCCGGTGGTATATTCCCTCCTACTCATAATAAAAAACGCTATACGGGTATAGTATACCCCTCAGTCAAAAGAGAATAACTCTGTAACGAAGCACCCGTTTTTCCGTCCCAAAGTCATGACCGCACAGTACATTTTTGTTAAGCCGTCCAGTTTTGCTGAACACACGGTATCGAGAAGCGTTGGAAGTTTGGCGCTTCGTTACTAAGGGATTTCTGAAGTGAATTATTTGCTGAAGCAGTGAGTCTGTGTTTACATTTTTGTGTAATTGTTTATTGTACCGCCGCTAAGCACCTAAGTTTTGTAATGAATTTATTAGGATTTAAACCGTTCAGGGAGGAATATTTGGATTGTTTTTGTTGCAGCTACCGAATGCTCGCTTACCAAGCAAGAAGGGAATCAATTGATATTTTAAGATTTCAGCGCCGTTAATTATTAAGCATTTTAGATTCCTATAATAAGCGACAACCAGGATGGAGACGAGATCCAAATCAAATTGTTTAGATAACGGCAACAGTTGTTGCGCCGGGAAATTACAAACAGGCCTAGGGGTTAATTGGATTAATGAGTATTATTGAAATTTGAATGCGCTTAATTGGATAAGCATTGTTAATGTTTTAAGTTGTAGAAAAAACTGGCAGGCGGCGTTCAAAGTTATCACAAAATTAGCGCGCTTAAAAAATAGGAAGTACAATGTCCATCTTATATTTTTCCGATAATTGCAGGCCGGGTAATTAATTTTAAACATCTGAGTAAATTGTGTACCAACGCTACCTTAAAGTTTCAACCCAGTAGACGCTCAGCAAAAAAGTGCACTGAGTGAAAGAGAGCTTGTTAACGAAGGCGGACACGTCAGCGGAATTCTTGAGCAGATCCAGAATTTGCATGCGAAGCTCGTGCAATTCCGTCAAGGACACGCTGTCATTACGTACGGCGCTCGTGTAAAGCAGCTCGCGCATCTCGGAGCTGCGCGACGTTTGCGAGACCAACGACGGCGACTTTACGGCGATCTCCTTTACACCCTCGAACCACTCCTGCGGCCACAATCCTAAAACGATCGAGTTACAAAAAGATCCAAAGGCGGGGAGCCTCACCGGAGTTCGAAGCCGTAAATCCCATAACGACGCAGTACAACCAGAAGTCGCGAAATAGCTTGTGAAGTCGAGGTTTCGGCTTCGCGATCGACGGCACGCGACGCAACAGGACCGCGATGACGGGAATGAGAACGCCCAGGTTGCCGGCGGAGCTCGACGCCTTTAGGCCGGGCGATTTTTCGCACGCGCGCTTCCCCTCCAATCCCAGCTGCACGAACAGCTCCAATAGGCGCATTAGCAGTTCGTTCATTTGATGTTCGCCTTGTATATTGGCGGCAATGTTCGCCAAGGCGTTCACAACGGGCAACGAAACGTGTCTACAATTAAAAAAAGTGTGACAACTGTCGAGCGACTTCCAACAGGAACCACTTACACAAAGAGCTAAACGATTATGATTATTATTATTAAAAAATATTATTATTATTATTAAAAAATATTATTATTATCATATAACAAACAAATCTTTCTTTAGAATGTGGCCAAATTCCACATTGTGTCCCAATGCCGTTATTGGCACTGACTGTGGATACAATGGTCTTGGGTTCGAATCCCACTCTGTCTTGAATTTTTTTTTAATAAAAAATTTTTTTTTTAATAAATTTTTTTTTAATAAAAAAATTTTTTTTAATTTTCTGAATTTTTCTGAACTTTCAGGAAACCTCAAACTTTCAAGTTTTTTTTTTTAATAAAAAATTTTTTTTTAATAAAAAATTTTTTTTTAATTTTCTGAATTTTTCTGAACTTTCAGGAAACCTCAAACTTTCAAGTTTTTTTTTTTAATTCTCTGCATGTATTTTTTGAATTTTTTGTAAATAAAAAATCTGAATCTTTTTTAACGTTTAGGGGTCAAAACTTACACAGGATACATGTTTGATACTAAGGTGTTCAGGTTGTTTCATAGATGCACCCTATTCATTGTGTCAAACAATGATGCTCACCGCATGTGACCTTGAAGAGGGGGGGTGAACTATTGAAATGACTGCCGACACAAACAAGCTAGACAGACCCATATGAAACAATTAACAATTTTTGAATCAGAAAACTAAGCGTCTCGAATAATGTTTTTGATAACCAAACGAGTAATATATATATACCAACAATCCTACGTTATGCAACCGTAATAGGTACTGAACGATCTCATAAAATGGCACATATATCCGTACCAAACGCCCACATCCTTCAATCAACATCAAATGGCCCAAGTGTCCAAGTGTAAGCGTTTCATGTTGAAAATACAGTCACGGAGCAATTACCGGTATTGTTTTTTATCATCGGCGACATTCCCATAAGCGGAATTGCTACTCTCGACAGTAATCATGGTAAAAAGCTTCATTACATCCTCGTAGACGTGCGGCCCGCACTGGGCGATAATCATGCAGCCGAGCTGATCGACGATCAAAGTGTCAAGAGCAGATGGCACGCGACAAAATCTCTGCAGAAAGAACTGCAAAATTGTCTCGGTCGTCTTCGGCATCCCCTTCATTGACACGGCGACATGCCCGAGCATGATCACGATGTTCGTCGAGATCAACGTCGACTCGCTGTCGCTCTTTTCGGCTGTAAATAGACGATTGGACACGCTCGCGACGAGCGCGCGTACACAGTCCGGATCCAAAGTATGTGCCGCCTCTAACGCGTAGCACAGGTTTTCAATTGCAACGTCGCGCAGCCGCTCAAAGGCCCACTGCACTGAAGAGAACGGCTTCATCTCCGGCCTAAGCGCGCCACTAACTGCAACGAACGGGAAAATATGCAGTGTGCCACACTCGCAACTCACCAACCGTTCAGTTTGAACTCCTTGGTCTTTTCGTTGGCCTGCCGGTGTAATTTGAACAAAATCGGCGAGGGCGTGATTAAAAAGTCACGCAAGCAGTAGATCGAGGTCGACGCGATGTTCGGAAATTTGGACGCCAACTTTCCGAGGCCCTCCAGGCACACCATCAGTAACGGCATGTGGGCCAGAATGAGACGGTGCCCGTTACTGGAGTTGATCTTCTCCGTTAGCCGCCCGCACAAGCTATCGGCGCCTGTAAGTACAGCGCCGTCAAACGATAGTTGGGGTGGCCGGACTAGTTAAGTTAGTAAAAAAACACTTCGTCAGGTTAGTAGGGGACTATACTGTATAACAAACAGTCACACATAACAAATCAAATAATGCTTCACCTAATATGAGGTTCAGCGCATTGTGAAGGGAAGAAATTTTATAATCTTCATCGACTGCAAAAAGTAAGAAATGGCACCATCGATATCTCAACATTTGTGATGCGTTGGCGCGAATTACTCACCGGTTTCGTCCCTAATAGCCCACACTAGCAAGTCAACGCAGGCCGCGTTCGCCATTACGTTCAACTTGAATTTGTTGATGAGGGCGTAGTTACTTTCGCGCTCCTCCCTTTCGCTGGCGTCGTGATTGCGACTTTGCAGCTCGGTTTGTCCGTTGAGAAAGAGTCCTGTAACGCTGAGAATATTGACAACGCACCCTGAACGATCAGCTGTTTACCTTTCACGAACTCCTGCACGTCTTTAGTGAAAGGAACCGGCAGATCCATCTGCGGCTGCAGCAGCTCCTGCAGTAGCGTAACCATAACCAAATTTATGGTTTCCGAAAACGTCTTATACGGAAATATCTTAATTTTCCCGGTGGAGTACACCTCGAGCGACTGCTCGTCCATAAACGCGAGCATGTCCTTCGTCAGCAGCTTCTTCGCCAGACCGAGGATCGTCTGTAAGTGATTTACCGGAAAGAGGAGTCGCGGTTTCTTTTCGGACGCATCTGAAACGCGCAGGTGGGGGAATTGGTTAAAGCTCGAGCCGAACGTCGAGAAGAAGTAGGTCGAGAAGTCGACGTTTGTCGCGCCTTGGTTCGGCGACTGGTCCGAGCTGAAGGCCACGTCCGTTACGTCGTAGCCCTAGAAAATGGCAACTATTAAGGTATGTCTACTTTATACTCGACTCGAGCGCGAAGTTGGTTTATGTACAAGCGAAAGATTCTTGTAAGCGGCCGAATTGCATCCATAAGCTTGTTAAGCATAGACCAACGTAAGTACCTCGACCCTCAACTAAAAAAAGATCGATTCATTCCGCGGGTTTTGAGAGGATAAAAACTTTGCTGTTTAAAGAGAACATGTCTGACTCCCATACTTCACCGACATGCCGTATTAGTTTTTAGATTTTTGACATAAATTTTTTACAGTAGATGGAGTGCTTTCGAAGCTTAAGACGAGGGAAACACATTTCAGAAGGAAATAGAAAAGAGAGCTGGGGAGGAGAATAGGGTGGGGCATTTTATTGACGAAATATCCTCCAAAGAAGACGAGGCAGGAAGTCCCAGAAATAGGAACTGCTGAGAGTTGCTTCTGCCAAGGAGTGCAGAAATAGAAAATGGACGCCATAAATGGCTCGTAGATTCGGACCACGAAATACTCAGTACAGAAGAAACAAGTACAAATTGTGCACAATCCTTGTGCAGGTAAAGCGCATTTTTTTAAAACACCCCTACGAAATTGCTTCCATAAATAAGAAAGTTGGCACTGCGCATGTGCAAAACGAAATTTTGAAAATGGCGTAAAATTTGGTTTTATTCCAAGTGGCTATGTATCAAATTTTATTTAAATGCTCAATGGATATATTTCTTCCAAACGTCCCAATCGCCCTTTGTAGGTACTTTCCTTTGACAATTCACTCTTAAGATATAAGGAATTATAACCGATCGCGACAAGGGATCGAAAAGGAAGACTATGATTAGTATAAATTAATTCCTTTCGTTGAGACCTTTCATTAGAGTACCATGAAGGATAAAACTAGTTCCACTCCCCCCCCCTTCCCCCTCCACCCCGTACTTTGATAAGAGGACAGAAAGAAGAGCAGTAGTTTGTAGAAAACGGTTCCTTTAATTAGAATACAATGACAGATAAAATTAATTTTTAACCCCCCCCCCAGGCCCAGTCGCTCTCTGATCTCGATAAAGAGTGGCGCGGGAAAGTTATAGTTTGTACAAACCAATTTATTTCGTTTCGTTTACCCCCCCCCCCCCCATTTCAAAAGTTTAACTTGGCACCACTAAAGGCATGCGTATGCAAAATCTGAGATCAATTGGTTGTCGTATGTAAAAGTTATGCACGTTTTACTTTCAATAACAGCATCTGAGGAAATAATTCGTGGGGGGGGGGCCTTTTAGACAGCGAAATTTGATGGCCGTCTGGCACACATTCAAGGTATACGCTACCTACTGCAAACAATTCCAGGACTCTAGGACCATTCCCCTAGAAGTAGTTCAAAACGGTAGAAGTGGGTCCGGACAGATAGACGGAGGGACGGACAAAGCGCAATCAATAGCATTTTTTTTTAATTCTTAAAAAATGCGCTAAAAAGAAGTAAACAAGTGCCAGATGTGTTGGGGAATCCGCCCATAAAGAGGCTAATGTCATGACCGAGAAACCAAGAACAAGTGCTTAAACTGTGGAGAGGAGGGGCACTTCAAAGATACATGTCCTAACGATAAGAAATGCCTCGTATGCCACAAGAAGACCGCGGCCGATGGGCTGTCCCGAATTTAAGGTGGTCATTAGGGCAGCAGAAAAGACAAGAAGCTGATAAGCAGGGAGGATCTGGGGGCCAGCAATGGAAAAATGTGAAAGCGGGTGTTTTCGAAACGTGTATGTATACTTAAATTTAAATTGTGCAGTGCGGTCTACGTTTACGTTTTAATTATACAATTTTTGTACATAAGGCGGACGTGTATTGCGATCCACATGCCGCAATATTTTAGATTGGGGGGGGGGGGGGGATTTTTCTATAGAAAATAGAAAGGTTATGTTATTATGTAATTTACATTGAGTATTTTTTTTAATAAAAAAGAGGGTTGTGTTAAGAGAAGGAGGGGGGGGGGGCAATCGATCGGCAACAATACATTACATTTTGGATTTTTGTATGATCCTTTTCATATTTACAGTATATGGAGTGCTTTTGAAACTTTTGATACATTACATTATGGATATTTTGTATAAATTAGGTGAAGGGGGGGGGGGGCATTTTTCTGTAGAAAATAGGAAGGTGATGCAATGTACAATAAGACTAATTTTTTAATCAAATAAAGATGGTTATGTTAAAAAGGACCGGGGGGGGGGGGTGCAATCGACATTTTGGAGGTTTTGTCAAACCATTTAAACATTTACAGTGTTTTTGAAGCTTATGTGAGGGGCTTTTTGTATAGAAAATGGAAAGGTGAAGGTATCTAGGTATATCAAATATATTTTTTATTAAAGAAAAGAAGAAAAAGAAGGCTATGTTAAGATGTCGGAAGGGGGGGGGGGGGCAATCGACAGGACGCAAGGAATACATGATGTTTTAGATTTTTTGTAAGTATGAATTCAATAAAAAGGAGGTACAATCTACATCAAGAGCATTTTTCATAAAAAAAAGAGAGTTATGTTAAGAAAATCCCGGGAAGGGGAGGGGGGGTTGCAATCGACAGGTCGCAATACATTACATTTTAAATTTTTTGTATGATCATTTTCACATTGACAGTATATGGAGTACTTTTGAAACTTAGGTGAGGGGTGGGAGAGGCATTTTTCTATACAATATAAAAAGGTGGTGCAATCTATATCAAAAGTAATTTTTTTTATTAAAAAAAGAGGGTTATGTTAAGAAGGGACCAGAGGGGGTGTGTTGCAATCGATATTTTGGATTTTTTGTATACTTAATCATTTTCACATTTACAGTATACGGAATGATCTTGAAGCTTAGGTGAGGGGGAGGGGGGCCTTTTTGTGTAGGAAATAGAAAGGTGAAGGTGTCTATATCAAAAATACTTTTTATTAAAAAAAAGAAGAAAAAAAAAGGGTATGTTAAGGTGTCGCAGGGGGGGGGGGCAAACGACAAGTCGCAAGGAATAATAATAATGCACATTTACAGTAGATGGAGTACTTCTGGGGGGGGGGGGGGGGGCATTTTTCTATACAAAATAAAAAGGCGGTGCCATCTATATCAAAAGTAATTTTTTGTTAAAAAAAGAGAGTTATGTTAAGAAGAGACCAGAGGGGGTGTGTTACAATCGAAATTTTGGATTTTTTGTATACTTAATCATTTTCACATTTACAGTATATGGAGTACTTTTGAAGTTTATGGGGGGAGGGGGGCATTTTTCTATAGAAAATAAAATAAAAAGGTGATACAAAATTTACATCAACAGCATTTTCCATAAAAAGGAGGTTATGGTAAGAAAATCACGGATGAGGGGGGGGTTGTTGCAATCGTCAGGCCGCAATACATTACATTTTGGATTTTTTATACAAATCATTCTCAGTTACAGTATATGGAGTGCTTCCCAAGCTTAGGTGAGGGGGGGGGGGGGGTTCTATAGAAAATATAAGAGTAACCTTCTTGCAGACCGGAAATACATTACATTTTAAATGTTTTTTCAAAATCATTTTTGTACTGTATATGGAGTGCTTTCGAAGTTGAAGTAAGGGGGGGGGCGCATTTCTCTATAAAACTACAAAGGCCGCAATACGTTACATTTTGGATTCTTTGTATAAATCTTTTCACATTTAGAATATACCTATGGAGTACTTTCGAAGAGGTTAGGTGAAAGGGTGGAGGGGGGGCATTTCTCTATAGCGATTTTCACATTTAGAATATATGAAGTGCTTGCGAAGCTGAGGTGAAGGGGGAGAGGAAGGTATCGCTCCAAAATGTTACATTCCGTCTAAATTATCCCAACTTTCCCACCTCAAGGTGGCACCACCTCTTAATGAGTATCCGGGAAAAATTTTAGCATTTGGGGATCTTTGAACGTGAACATAATAAATTCGAACAAAGTTTTGGAAATTTTGAAAAACATATTGAGTGACACAGGGAAGGAATACTTAAAATTTCTAAATTTTATGGTTTACATCGCGCGTCTATTTATAGACTCTTATCAATATCGGGAATACGAACTTGTGAACCTAGATGCCTATTTAAACTGGACGAGGCGTACCTTCTTCCATTGGAGGACCTGCAATTACCAAAGAACGCTGACCTTAACCTAGGGTAATTTATTCACCACGGATCTCTATGAGGTTTTCAAATGATACAGACTAAAAGGTATTTTAAAATCAAACAAATTCAAAAAATCAATGTTATAAAAACCATAACGTAAGTTCGGACAAAGTCTATTCGATTTCAAATGAATAAATGCTGTAAACACTGTAACGGGTGGTCGCTTTAGAATTAAAAAAATAATTCTTCGAATGTAAGCATAGGAAAATCTACACTTGTACCGCTTCATAGTGAACTTGAACAAAGATGTGTATGGCGATAGTAAAACCGAGAGTAAAACGGTCCGATTCAAGAGGTTATGTTGTACAGTACCGGGATATAACATCTTCGATAAAACCGATGGAAAAAAACTCTGGCATTCAGTCCAATGTACCAGAGAATGTCTGGACTTTTTTTGCCGAGTCTGGACCAGGTCAAGGTGAAGGGGGCGTGCTACATGGCGGTGACCTTGGAAAGTATGCCAAGGTGAAGCAAAAAAGTTTTCGTTTTCAAGATCATCGGTGGTCAATGTTGTGTTGCCATATTTCACTTTCAAGGTTACCAAACGTCAACGACCCAATTTTTTGGTGTCACATTTTACTTTGATTTCATTTTGAGTCAATGGCCTTTTTGTGCGGTTCGGGTTCGCGTTCACGTTTTGGGTATTTTATCTATTTTAACAAGCCTCATTGGTATGACTATTGACTTCACATCAAAAGGACTGTAAGGCGAAGGGGGGGGCACATTTTTCTATTTGTAGGAGTGGCACCATACAGTAAGCTTTAAAGCACAAAATGTTCTCTACGTCTACTCTTGTAATACCGACCCTTGAGTAACCATGTACATTGTTTAATAAATAAAACAAGACGCGGAAAAACACAATAACCTACATCTTGTGTTGAATTATACAGGGCGAATCACACAATGTTTACTTAACGTAATACTATTTATTTATAATTAAAATCAAAATCAACATACCACAAAAGGAAACATAATAGATAAATAAAGATGTAGAAGGGAAAAGAAAGATCGAGAGCGAGATGGGGGAAAGGAAACTTTTTTTTAAATGTCTACTAAATTTTGTTGTTGTAAATCTACCAATTTCGTATTAATATCAATTATTGTTCGTATTAATATCAGTTGTTCAAGTGTGTATCAAGTATTTACTAAATTGTTTTTAATGTTTTTTTTTTTAATTTTTAAGAATTGATTTTTCTACCTTTTGAATTCTCAGTTTTATGGTGGTTTTCAATGTTTTGAATTTTTTATTGCTTCTAATTTTTTGGATTTTAAATTCTTAGTTTTTGTATATTTTTATTTCAGTTTTGTTTAAATTTTTACCAATTTTCCAATTTTAATAATTTAAAATTTTTTTTATTTGCAACCTTTTTATTTCTCAAATTTTTGAGTTCTCGATTTTTTATAAATTCATATTTTTTTAATTTTCAGAATTTCAAAAAAAAATGTTTCACTTCTACAGGAGAGAGGAGACCGGAGAAGAACCAAGGAAGAGGAAAAAAATGAAATAGAGCGAGAAAGAGAGGGAAAAAAGTCGAAATTGGGGCGGTTAAAAGAGACAGAATATTTGTAAAAAGTTACAACCCAACAGATTCTAATTTTTTTTACAAAATATACTAGCAAGAGACTCGTAGGGCGACATCTGTAATAAATTTTTGTAAACGCAACAAATATATTCCCATCTACAAGAAAGTTCATAAATTCTTTGGTAAAAGGGGTTGGTTGCATACTACTAGAAATTTCCGTAAATGAGAAATTCAAAGAATATGAAGTCATGCTGACCGTATAGTAATCATAAGAAAAAAGGGGAACAATATTATCGAAACAAAAGAATGAATAAAATAAAAGATAAACCGTGACAAGAAGCTTGATTGTTGGAAAAGTGAGGTTATATTATCTATCACATTTTACAGCGCCATCTATTGATTGCTCACTTCCCTATCGAGCCATTGTTGTGACTCGCCCCGTATAAACTCTGTAAGTTTGCAACACATTGCATGCTACGACGCAGACGAAACTCAACAACTATGTTAGTGCGTAGCTACGAATCGTGTTAGAAGAAAGCGACATAATGTTGACATTACCAGTATTGGCAGCGCTGTTTGTAATGGTAGGCTCAACGGTAACAACTGAAATGTAAATAGGTACAGTTCGGGGGGGCGGGAGGTTTACTGGCGTAAACAACAAAAAAAATTCAAACCGCCGTAAGCGCGAGCACAATCTTCTCACACCTACCTGCGTTATCGCGAGGATGTCGAGCGCGGCGGTCAGATTTCCCGAAAGGCTGCGAGGGACGATCGGTCGAAAGTTGCTGACGCTCCGCTTGTAAACGATCGGCTTTTCGGTCCGGTTCGGTACGATCGGTGGCTCGCCCTTCGGGAAGAGGCGTAGAAAGAGAGCCGGATCGGACATGTGAAATCTGCCCATGGCTCGAGCAAGTCCGACGAGTACCGGCAAGATATTCTTGCAAAGGTGCAGCTTGGTACCGCTAGTGATCGCATCTTGTTCTTGTATCGTTTTAACGGTACTGACGAGTATTAGGAAGCAGTCAACCTGACAGTTGATGATTTCCTCGCGAAACGTCTCCGCCTTAACGGCGAGATCGCAAAGTAGCGTGTGGATGCAGAAACTGAATTTCTCTGCGATCGGTATACCTACAGGAAGATACTAAAATAATCGCCCACCTTATAAATGGCTTACGGTCAGTAGGATATGTGCGAATCTCATCTTTCCAGATTGCCTTAATGAGACCTCTCGCCAAAGAAAGTAGATAGGAGATGATTTTATCCGAATGCTGTAGACCCGATTCTAGTAGGTAGATTCCGAGTGCAATTACGGCATCTTGGTCACGGTTGCTCAATCGAAAAACACCACTCGTAGTCTCGACGGGGCATAAAGAGATTAAGGGCAGCAGCTAGAAGATTCCACTTGAACTAAATGTCGACAGTTTAATTGGCATTTACCTTCTCCCATTCGATTTCTTTTATGGCGGCTAGGCATCGTGCCAGGTGTTGAACTGTCTTGTGGAAAAACTGCCTTTCCATTTTTGGGCGGAGATCGCCACTTTCGACAATTTAATGATTCATTTCAGCCTCGAAGAGGACAAAATCTGAAGTACAAGGTTATGTTGTTGAGAAGTGTTTATTTTACTCCAGAGAACAGCTGTGATGAGGCGCTGTCATTCAATGGCGACGTTCAATTGTTTGTTGCAAGCGCCTTGTGTGTTGCGTAGCTGGAGGGGCAGGTAACACTACACTCATATTTTGTCGAATTTTTAGGAAAACTAAGCAAAATTGGGAATAAAAAAGGCACTCTCTTATAAGGGACTTCTTAATCTTTTGTTTGTTGTGGTTTGAAAAGTGAAGAAGCTGATCGCCTGATCAGAACATTCACCTCCCTACAAATGAAAGTCATTATACAATGTGGTTTACCCGAATTCGGCCATTGTTTTTCGGGGCGTCATTGGTTGTACTTCAAAAGAGTGGTGGAATTGGCCCAATCGCCATAGGATTAAAACACATACTTTAATCCCTTGATATACCGTGCGTTTAACTTCAACTGGAACATAGGATTTCGCATTTATTTATTTATTTCCGTTACATTAAAAAAAAAGCGTTAAACTATACGAGTAGTTCAAATGAGTAGTAGGTAGGTGCAATGTACAACTGTCACCTTCAAATCTGCCGCCCTGCAGATAAATTTCAAAAATGCTTTCTAAAGCAGTGGCGCACCCAGACAAAAAATACGGTGGGGGTTATTGAAATTAGTAAATCCAAAATGTTAACACAAATTATATTTTTAATAAACAAAAGATTACACAGTTACACTTACACTTTGTCCGAAAAAAACAAAACAGAACAGAAAAATTATTTATGACTAAAAATATTAAGTTAAACTAAGTTTTAATTTTCTAGATTTCTGTGCGAATTTCTCTAAAATATTTTCCACAGAAGGGGTCATGTTTCTATAAATGTTTAGAAGAGTTAAGCCATTTAGTCGGTTTTCGGAAGAACTATTTCTTAAATAATTTTTGAGTCTTCTCAAAGTTGAACCAGACGCCATACATATTTAGATTTAGTTATTTTCCTAACAAGTGCGCGAAGTTAGTGATTCCGAACCGAAAGCAGGATGTACCTGCTTGAAGTTTGGAATCACCTTCGCGCGCATGTTAGGAACAACGTTTTTCCTACGATCGTCTAATTATTTTAATTAGAATCGTTTAGGGCCGGTTGCACAAAGACAGTTTAAACCTAGCTTGGAATTAACCAATGGATTACGGTCTAGGATTGGTTGAAATTTGACGTTTTGTCAAATTTCAACTAATCATATGTCTTAATCCATTGCGTTAATTTAAACGAAGTTTATACTGCGTTTGTGCAACCGGCCCTAAGTTTTGTCACAGGATTTGTCAAGATTTGAAACCATTGAACTATATACTCTGTAACTGGAACGGCATCGAGCGCCAAAATCGCGTGCCGCAATGATTTTAGGCAACCAGCATAACGTAGGTATTCTCATCCTTGTCTGGCACGTTGTTTTGTATTGCATATGCAGGACCGATCACATGTATTTGGTTAAAAATACAGATAAGTAAATAAACTGGGAGGTTGGGGCCTTAGAAAGATAAAGATAAATGCTTGCCGATGCTTTTATAAGAGCCAATATCGATTTGTTAATGGAATATCTTAAAATATATACTTAATAATGTGGTAAACTGCGCCATTTCTCACTCACACACTCACATACTTGATTCTTGAAGTTACAAGTGTAATGTCAATAAATTAATGTCATTCATGGTGGCTCGACGCATTCCATTTACTTATTAACGTAAAATAAAGTTATAAACATTGGTTGTGTTCGTTTGTAACGTACACTTTACATAATATACTTATTAGCAAGGAGGCACCTAATATATTACAATTGGCGTCGAGGTAAAAGTAAATCTACAAAAGCACTTTTTTTCAGAATAAAATGAGATTAAAGAATCATGGTTACTTTAAGAGCAAAAATTCAATTTACTCGTAGTGGTAATTGGACCAGAGGGTTAATTGCGCTACTTATATAACCCAGTTTTCTTCCAAGATGAAATGTACGCCGAGTTATATGAGGTCAGAATTACACCTTCTACAAAAGGTCTCCCATATTTTCCGGAACTCACCTTTATAACTTGGCCCCAAAAAAACTCAAGACCTGCAAATCCTTCGGAATATTTCGTAGGGAAAGAAAAAAGTTTTTCAAATGTAACTGCTTCTACACCATTAAAGCATAATGTGGATGGATATGGATGTAGAAAATGCAAACCGTGATATTTTCTACTCTAACTTTTGTGATATACCTGTGTGATATGTGTACCTATGCTTTTATATTTTATCTTTACACTTTGACGCCTCTTAATGTACGTTCATTGTACGCCGAAGGAATCGGTAATAAATAAAAAAATCAATCCTTAAAGGTATTTTTCGCCCCATTAGTGAGCAGTATCAATAATAATGTTGAGTAAAAAATTAAATAATAAAGCATATTCAAATTAGTAAGTCAAAACGGCTTTATAGGTTTTGGTGGCTATAACGCTTTTCTTCATATGATGCTCTCTAGCGAGTGGAATCATTGAATTAGTATTAAACAGTGGGAAAGAAGAATTATCATTCATAAGGACAGTATAAATGAGTGTGAGGTATGTACACATTAGTAAAGAAATCTGAGCGGTGCAAATGCCGTCATGCGCAAAAATATTAAATGCGCGCGTCGAGGTTGAAAAATGTTATCAAAACGTACCCATGAAATTGAATATTTGAATTTTTATTATAAAAATGATTGCACGTATATGCAACATAATTCATGACCATTCTTGCAAATCTCTTAATAACTTATTTTAGACAAAAATAAGCAAAATGTAAGACGTAGTATAAACCATCCCATAAGCCCACATGAGTGGAACAAGGTAAGGGATACCTACCTCTACCCATCTCTCTCTCACAAAAATTCGCCACGGCCCCTGGCAACGGTTTATTACGGGCGATGCCGTTCCAGTTACAGAGGATATAGTTCAATGTTTGAAACTGATAATTTATTGTGACAATCAAGTTGTATGGTTGCTATGGATTAAACATGCAAATTATAGTGCGCGAATGGATCACTTTGTGCACGCGGTTTGCGTGCGGGAATGATTAATTCATAAACGATTGTAGGAAAAGATTATTTTAAAAAAATCTATCAGTGCTTAATTTCGGGGGGGGGGGCCGAAAACCCCCCCTATGGATGCGCCACTGGTCTAAACAGATGGAAATTGAAATTATAAATTTATGCAAAGGTCACAACTCACAACAGTGCAAGGCCAAACCGCGATTTACTTGATGTCCAGTCTCAGAGCAAGAGTCCAGCATCCTACATAACCTAAAAATAATTAAAGGCTGGTCCCAGCTGGTTCAGTTGTGACTCGCACATTATTCAATACAACTTAAATCATCTCTTCATTAAATCCAATAAATCATTACATCGCACTTGAACGTAACTATTATAGTCCAGTCAGTCAGTGAGTAGCATTATTGAACGCTCCCATTCCTGGTGGCCTCTGAAAGTTGGCAACACTGCAGTAGAAACCCGCGATTAAAATAATTCCATTTCTCTTCTTTTGCGTCAAAGCAAAGTCGTATTTCGTTTACGGTATACACGTTTCGTGTCATCAGACTTAAAAGTACGTAAAAGTTTATTAAATGCACTTAAATTCAATTCGTTTAAACTGTACGACAGCATAATAATTAACAATTTCTTTGCGGATGAGTGAAATATTAACGGATAAAAATACATTTGAGGTTATGCCCCCCTTAATTTTCACATTTCGTTTTCAGCATGCGTTACGTGGCTGCCTACCTTCTCTCAGTCCTCGGCGGTAAAGCCGCGCCGGCCGCAGGAGACATCGAGAAAATTTTGAGTTCGGTCGGTATCGAAGCGGACGCCGACAAAGTTAAGAAAGTCATTTCGGAACTCAACGGCAAGTCGATCGACCAGGTGATGGCCGAAGGTAAGTCGTCGCTACTGATACAGTCCAGTGTAAGTGTTTATGTAAATTTTAGGTCGTGAGAAGCTCAGCGCGATGCCCTCTGCCGGTGCCGCACCAGCCGCCGCCGCTGCTGGAGCCGCGCCAGCCGCTGCGGCCGAGGATAAGAAAGGTAAATTCCCCGTTTGTGGTAGAAAGGAACGTGTGCTGACTGTTTTTGTTACAGAAGCCAAAAAGGAAGAGAAGAAGAAGGAGGAGTCAGAGTCGGAAGACGAAGATATGGGTTTCGGACTTTTCGACTAAAGTGTTGTTTGTACATTATCGGTCGATTTTGTAATAAATTTATAATACTTTTGTAGTTTTTTCTTGTAGGTGAACGCTGTCCATAATGTGTGGGAGTAACCCCTCATTTTGCTTAGATTTATTAATGGAAAACGGAGGAAATTTTAATAAGTGGAAATGCATTACAATTTACTGGTAAATTGAGAATGTGCTGGAACTGTCCTGAATCTATTTGTAATTTAGTATGTGGCCTCCCTATTTCTGGCTGTGGTGTTTTTGTTTCATGCTTGATGTGTTTTGTGTAGACTTTTGCTTTATTAAGTTAAATTGGCCTGTGAAGTGACAAAATCTTCCAATTCATCATAATAGAGAAGGATATGTGAATAGGGAAAATAATTGAGACCTAAATATATCCCATTTCATCGGGTATATTGGATTATTTCCATAGGGAAACAGTTTTCGACTTGCCACGGAAAGACAGTGTGGACTCTAGCCATTACACCCCAGATATTAACTCTTCTTTGTACATTCTCTTGATATTCTTAAATTATTTAAAGGTTATTTATATTATAATTATGAATAATCAATTCAATTATTCCTGAAATATTCGCTCATTTGGATAATATTAAATGTATGTACCTAATGATCTTTAGCCTCCTACTATCTTGGCGGGCTAACGCCAACTTCAAGTCACACCGGAATATTTGACCATATTCTGTCGTAGCGGGAATGCCAAACTAACATGGCTGACTAGATTTGAATATTCTCGCTTAAGTTTCCCGCGCGAACCTGTCACTCGGGGGGCCACTCCGAGTGCACTAAGATCGTGATCGTCATGTAGGACACCTAGCGACCTACGTCGTGTAATAACTGGGTTCTCAGCAAGCACTGAGGGCGTTTTATGGGTAAGGAACACCAAAAGCAATAGCTGATGAAGATTATATTGAGGCTAATACCAATACGGCGCCTCTGCAGAGGGTCTTAAGTGGTTCTATACTACTCCGGCATTTATCTTACGAATTAGGAAAACTGCAGGAAAACCTAATTCGGAGTAGTCCTATAAGGAACAAAGCCTACAGCTAATCTAATATACAGCACTTTTGAGCCCTCTCGAAACCCGGGGTAAATACTACATACACGCTATGAGTAACCAAAATAGAATCTAGCCATTCCCCAGGTATTACAACACATACATCAGACAGAACTAAGAGATATTAAATATGCCTCGCCGGACGGTAGGATTACCCAGGCCCAGTGGGGTGCCTGATGTAGACGTGGGCTAAAGTTGTTGGGTTTCGGAAGAGTAAAAATGTTAGTGTTAGGTTCACCAAGGATTAATTGAATAAAGCAAATACCTCACCTGATATAAAAAAAGCAAAAGCACACAGTAATGATTAAGGTATAACAAAATATTTCAAGATAAGCCGTACTTTACACTTCAGCCGGTTACAAGACAAAGACCATGAACACACATATTAAATCCTATTTATTGACCAACCCAAGCCATCACGCTATAATTTGATCTGCTAATACCCCTAAAAACCACCCGAAAATCGCCCATTCCCTGCATTTCACGCATTTCTAGGTAAAAACTGGACAGCAGGTCTTAGAAATGGTAAACATGTGGTCTTCCGAGAAATTCCATCCGTCCTATCTTCGCTCCTCTTTCCCTTTTCTGTAATCCCACCAGATTTCGGTTGGCAGCTTGTGTAACTAACATGATGTATAGGGTGCTTCGTATCGACAATCATATTCACAGGATGTTGCATCTCAAGGTCAAAGTGAAATTGAAAGGCCGCGTGCCACATGGCGATGACCTTGAAAAGTTGGTCAAGTGCATTCAAATCTAAAGTGATCGGAACTCAACGACTCCATCTTTGCGGTGCCACATAATGTTACTCCCAAGGTCATTAAAGATCAATGGCTCCATTTTTTTTAATGTCATCTATTTTATTTTCAAGGTCGTTAATGCGACCTCCATTTTGTCATATTTTATTTTTAAGGTCAATAAAGTCATTTTTCTGCAATTCGTTCGCGTTTGGGATCGTGTGGACGTTTGGGTTCTCGTTTACGTTCGCGTTCGGGTCGCGTTCACGTTCGGATTCGGGTTCGCGCTCGAGTTCGCAGGAAGTGCAAACCATTGCAAAAACGTACAGTCGCTACAGTCCTGCCGAAACGCGAGTTAAACCCAAAACGTGTCTTAACGTGAACGCGATTCCAAACGTGAACACGAACCGGAATGAGAACGCTAACCTCAACGCGAACGCGAACTCGAACGTAAACACAAACCGCACATAAAATGAGGCCATTAGCCTTTAATGACCTTGGGAGTAAAACGTGTCACCGAAAAAATGAGGTCTTCGATGACCTTAAAAGCGAATGCTTTTGAGTTTCACCTTCACCTATTTTCCAAGGTCATATATCAAGAGGGAGAGGTTTTTGGAGGGCATTATGCGGGTAGCCGCGAAGTAGTACAGTTGAATTTAACCCAAATCACGAAAGCGCTAATTTGGGCGCGCTATAGAAGGACAAACCTAGCTCAGTTTAAGGCCGTTCGCCACCTGGTGGTGACTTTAAAAAGTAGGTCAAGGTGAACGTTGTAGGCCACGTGGCTATAACCTTGAGGGTATAAGTTAGGATCTTCAAGGTCATTGGAGGTCAATCGCCCAATTTTTGTGTTGTCATATTTCACTTTCAAGGTAACCAAAGGTGAAAATAAAAATAGATGACATAAAAAAATTAAATCATTTCACCACAAGAATGAGGTCGTTGAATTTTGATAACCTTGAATGAAAATATAGATGACATTACATTAGAATCTTTAATGACCTTGAGAGGGAAATGTGACATTGTAAAAATGGGGCTTTTGGTAACCTTGAAAGTGCAATATGACAATACAAAAATTAGGTTATTGAACTCCGGTGACCTTAAAAGCGAATGCGCTTGAGCTTAACTTTGACCTGCAAAGTCATATCCACGTGGTACGCGAATTTTACCTTGACCTACTTTCCAAAGTCACCACCAGGTGGCGAGCGACCCTGAACTGAGCTACAGTGAGCCAGTTCGCCCTTGTATATCCACTGATGGGAAATGATTAGATAGGCGTTAGTTCGAGCGCATGTCAAGAAGATAATGGTACGCGTGAGATTACAAAAAATTCATGTCGAAACTTATTTTTATGTGGATTCGGGTCGAGTCAGCCAAGTTAAATTGGCCCACCGTAGAAACCATTGGGAGAAATTGTAAGCCAGTAGCGACTTTCACTTAATGACGATTTTTTTTCGAATATAGGTACAAAGAGAACCTTTCACTTGGTTATAATAACAATCGTGTGAAGTACATTCGATGGTTATTAATAAAGGTTAGTCCGCCCAAATTTGACGTAGGTAATCTACTTTTCGCAATTAATTAAGCCCTCCCGTTAAGGACCCGAATTTATCATCAACCATTTTCTGTTCCATTCCGTGGAACCTAATCGGAGATGATCCAATATTCCAAAATTGGACGACTCAAAGGATAGTTTTAGTAGCTGTATGATTAAGATAAAGTTTAACTTTCTATTTGTATTCAATACAGACCGTTTAAACAGTGAATAGAAACATTTTATCTCTTAACCGGTTTGACACTTTTAAAAGGAACTTTCCGCTGTATAAAATATTGGTGTATGAACTCAGAGAAAGGTCAATTAATTTCGATATTAAGTAACGGAAGTCTTCTAACTGACTTAAACACATAAGTTTTAAGGTTTCGATTTATTCGTAAAAAACAGATATTCCGTACATTAACTTATTGAATAGAAAAGTGACCACTAGGGTCGTACAACTCTAGGACACTGGATGTTTCAATTGATTTTCTTGGAGGGTAACGGTGGATTTCAAGACTCACATTCACTTTCGCGACTTTGTTTTCTCAACTGCCTCTGCATCAGCCGCCATTTTGTCGGCAATTCGGATGGTTGTCCCCAATAGTCGTAGATGTCGCTTGATATACCAGAGCTGAGCTTCAAGATCGCTCTTTCTAATTCGAGGTTCCGTCTTACGTCGACGGCACATGTTCAAGTAGAGATTCCAGCAAACCCTTCTCGTCGATAGTATATCTAGCAGCCTATCGCGCAAGGACACCTGCGCGGTGCGCACGACGCCTTCCCACTTTTCACATTTCGCATTCGCCGCGCGAAACCGATCGTTCAGCGCGGCTACGCGATTGTTCAAACCGATCAAGACGGTGCTTTGGTCGATGAGTTGTTGCTCCTGCAATATGCGAGGAATTATAAGGTGAGAACACCATCCGCGCCTTACCATTCGATCTTTGGTTTCCTCCAAAGCGCGAATGTTGTGCTCCAATCTCTTGGTGACGACATTGCGTGCCTCGTCGAGAATCGCGAATTTGTTGAAAACGTCCTGAGCCGTCGGAAATTCGCCCTTGTTCGTTTCGGACACGACCTCGAGATAGCTCTCGTAAATCTGGTGATCTCTTATCTGTTGTTCCATCTCGTCTTTTACCTTGAGCAGTTTATTGTGGTCGTTCTCGGTTTGTTTTATCGCATTATCGGTATTCGCCTTGCTTATGATCAACCTTTTCGTTTTAGAGGTGGCACGCGCGGTTTTCTCCGCGTTCTCTTTGATCATCTGCAAACAGTATAAGGCGAAAATGTTAGCCTAAACTACAACAGGCATCAAACCTTGTCGAAGTCGCAGAAAGTTTTCCTCAGCTTCAAACCTTCCTCCTCCAAACTCTTCCACTCGTTGTCCAGTTGAGCCTTCGATGACTTCGCCTCTTCGCGCTTCTCGGTTAGGCGCTGTTCGCTGTCGTCGAGATCCCGCTGCAGTGCCGCTAGGGCGATCTTTGGTTCTACGCGCGGAAAGTCCCATTCCGGGTATTTTCTGAAAGCGAACCAATTAATGGAGATACGAATTGAGAGTTATTGCGTCACACTTGAGAACTCTCTCGTTTAACTTTGATTCCAAAAAGTCGCCGATTGTCTTTTCGGGCGATATTTGTGGGAACGTTAATTCGTTTTCGAGTTCGGTGTAGTACATTTTGGTATTGATCAAAGAGTTTGTGGTTGCCTGGCAACCTTATGTTTAAAGTTTTTTTTTATCCCTCTCTTGTTCTATTTTCCTTTTTTTTAGCAGATGTATGGTTGTGGCAAAGAGTACCTACCCATTTACTCTTTGGTTGTGGCAAGCAAGGGAGCATTTTCCCCCACCTTCGTACCACACTTCTCATGTGATTATTTTTAGCGGATTTTCCCACAGGGTCATATTGTTGAAATTTTAACCAAAGATATGCTTCTAGTGCAGGCAAACATATCGCATATTGTAATTATATTGTGCAGATGCGCAGACTCCCAACATAGACATTTCTTTGAAATTTTAACCATAGATGGTTCTAGTGAAAAAAACAGCGCATACAGTATCAGATGTGCCGTGCCCTTGCGCAGACTGCGCAATGCCAACTTTCCTATTTATCAAAATATCTTTTTGAAATTTTAATCACAGATGCTTCTAGTTTTCTAGTAAAGGCAAGCATTGTAAAATTAACTGTGCGCAGTGCCAACTTTCTTTGAAATACTGTATCGTTGCACGTGACCTGGCACTGTAGTTTCGCCTCCAACAGTTTGTTGGCTGGCAGTCGCCTAAAGTTTCTAAGGATTTTAAATTGTGCTAATTGTCATTTGGAGATGAACAGTAAAATCTACCTTAAACAGCACCACATAAAAGGGTCAAAATTTTTAAATGCGCCAATTGTGATTATGAGATAAAGAATAGATTATAGGATCTGCTGGGAATTTGTTTTTGATATTTAGTGATGACGTGTTTAACCTCAAATTGTGAGACGCTAATTAACATGGCATGACTCCCGCTACATCTTGAAGTAAGGTGCACGTCACAGAAATACGCAGCATAAACAACAACAATTAATTTTGGAGATTAATAGCAAATATCCTCTCTCCCTCTAGATATGGGCCTTTTTATGCGGTACAAAATTTGTTTAATTACATCGCAAATATTTTTGTGATAGAAAGCTTGACTGCACTACATCTCAAACGAGAAATTTGTCTGATAAGTATTCTCGCACGGTCGTTGTGCGCGGGTGCACCATCCTGTTGAAACCAACAGTTTCCAACTTTTGTTTTTTTTGGGTGTGCCGCGCGCGAACCAATAATTGGAGAACCCCCTTCTAGGTCTACGGCAACGAATCAGAAAATTCTTTTTGCCCTTTTAGTGACAAAATAAAAAAAGTGGCACTTGGTGAATTCCGACAGAAATGACTTTTTATTTCTCACCTCGACGTACCTCTGATAACCGAAAGCTCGGATAAAGCGGAATAAACACAAATTACAAAATACAACATTTTTTGGTTCGTCGACATTCTTGCGGCACAACACAAATAGCTGCAGAATCAACCTGAACCGTTCGACGCATATATCTGCAAAAAATGCGCAACTCGCGTTCGGCTCGGATAAAGCGGACGCTTTCCATTGCCACCTCGGATAATACCGAATTTTCTTAAGATTTCTGAGGCTCGGTTAACACGGAAGCTCGGATAATTAGATATGATTAAAATAACCTTCAATTCATTTTATTTACTCCGAAGCCATTAAATACGCTTTAAATGTGTGTGTTAGTCAGTTTCAAAAACACATCAACGGTTTTATGATGGTCTAGAACGAGAGGAACATAAATAAATAAAAACCGGAAAATTCCGATTACTTCCGAGGATATGTCAGAAAAACTGAAATTTGTCGACATCGTTTTTATTTTGTTCTGATGTTATCTGAACAGATGCAGTAAAATAACAAAAAAACATTTCTCATTGCCGCTTTTTGAGCTCTACCTCCAATACAACGTTTCGTTTCGGAAAAATCATCATCAACTTTATTTTTTTATGGCCGGTAAGAAAAGTACATACTTTACTGAGTAGCATTTTTTATTAGTTATTTTACGAATAAAATGATGTACGCACACACACAAAAAATCAAGAGTTAGAAGCTGTTGGTTTCAGCAGGATGGTGCACTCGCGCACAACGGCAAAATCGTGCGAGAATACCTATCGGACAATTTCCGGGAAATGGAAAATACTATGGGATCAAAAATGAATTGCTATCGAATCACCCTTGGAATTTTTGGAAAATCATTAAAGGTGACTCGATAGCAACTCTTTTTTGGTCGCCCGTTATGTCCGATAGGTATTCTTGGACTATTAAGGCGATGTGCGCCATTACTCCAGCACCATCCTGTGGAAACCAACAGTTTGCAACTCTTGTTTTTTTTTGGTACCGTACATCGTTGTTTTCAGGAACGGATTTAGCATGGGGCAATGTGGGCCCCAGGGTCCATAACGGGGCGGCAAAAAAAATTTGGGAAATAATTCTACAGTACTATCGTGGAAGAATAACATCTTATGCAATTAGATTTAGAATGTTACGCCCTCTTACCAACTTAAAAGTAATCATGAAATTAAGGATGAGTAACATAACCCCACATTTCGACGAATAACTTTGTATTAAGATTGTGAACATTTTCCCCCGCAAATGTTGTGGTTGAAAAAGCTTAATTAAGGTGTCATCTAGCAATTTTTATTTAATTTATTTATTGTATGAGCGTACGGGGAGGGGGGGAGGGGGATAACAGCACGTAACCGTTGTATTCTCTGAAACACAATTCAGTGGTTACATTTACATATCTTTATATTGGACTTCGGTGTAAAATAAACTTGAAATACGTTATTTGAAATTGATGCCTTTTATTATTTTGGAAAACCACTTCTGAATTTCACATTGTAAATATTAGGTAATAATTTAATTATACAGGGGTGTTATACGACAAAAACTGAACAAAAAGTTCCTCTACCAGTTTTCCATCAGACCGCTATTTTTCGAGCTACCGCGGTTTTAAAAATCTCTGCCCCCCCCCCTTCGCTGCGCCACTCGTTAAACTTAATAGTAACACATTTTTAAAACAAAAAGAAGGTTCAAAATAAACTATAATTATGACGAGTACGTAATTAAAACATTTGTTCAAAATGTCCGCCGTCTGCTAGTAAACAAGCTTCAGCGCGTCGAAAAAAAAAGCGCCGGTCTGATCAAAAACTGGTAGAGGAACTTTTTATTCAGTTTTCGTTGTATAACACCATCCCACAGTCCGTGTGCACGAATTTCGAAACACCCTGTATTTCTAAAAGTAAAATTATATATTATAGCCCCATCACCTCCTAATGTATGATGCGGAAATATTAATAAAAAAGGAGTATATTTCTCTATAAATTAAATAGTTAGTTGTTTGTAATTCAAGATAAGATATTAAAATTTGTTTCAATAACACTTTATCGATCTCATAATTAATATAAACAAATGTTTTGACTACTAATTATAAATTAATTTGCAAATTAGGAGAAAGAAAACCGCATTAACTCTTTTTTGTAAAGAATCAAAAATAGTGGATATTTCTAGAAACAAATATTGGTTGGGGTATAAAATGATTTTAGTTGGTTGGGCGCAAAATCGGGGGGCCCATATGCGCAAAATATGTAGATCCGGTCCTGTTTGTATTCGCAATTAAAAAAATGCCACTCAATACTGTAGATATAGGCACTTTTTCACGGACCATATAAAAATATAGTTGATGATTTCTCGGAAACGAAACGTTGTATTGAAAATCTTTAAACACTCAGAAAGTGGCAATGAGAAAGTATTTTTTTATTTTTTCGTATCTGTTCAAATAATATCAGAAAACAAGTACAAATTGTGCACAACCCTTTTGCAGGTAAAGCGCATTTTTTAAACACCCCTACGAAATTTCTTCCATAAATAAGAAAGTTGGCACTGCACATGCGCAAAACGAAATTTTGAAACTTCTCTTAAGATATAAGGAATTATAACCGATCACGACAAGGGATCGAGGAGACCTTTAATTAGAATACAATGACAGATAAAATTAACTTTTTACTCCCCCCCCCCCCCCAGGCCCTGTCGCTCACTGATTCGAAAAAGAGTCGCACGGGAAAGTTATAGTTTGTACAAACCAATTTATTTCGATGAGACCTTTCATTAGAATACCGTGAAGGGTAGAACATCCCCCCCCCCCCCGGTTTTCTAAAGTTTAACTTTGCACCACTAAAGGCATGCGTATGCAAAATCTGAGACCAACGTTTTACTTTCAAAAACAGCACCTCAGGAAATAATTCGCGGGGAGGGGGGGGGGGGGCTTTTAGATAGCGAAATTTGATGGGCCGTCTGGCACACCTTCAAGGTATAGGCTACCTACTGCAAAAAATTCTAGGACTCTAGGACCATTCCCCTAGAAGTAGTTCAAAACGGTAGAAGTGGGTCCGGACGGACGGACGGACAAACCGCAAACAATAGCACATTTTTTTAATTTTTAAAAAATGGGCTAACAATTAAAACGATTTCAGTTCTTCTGACATTTTCGGAAGTAATCGGAATTTTCCGGTTTTCTTTAAAGCATGATAATAACTCTCTTTTCACCAATCTGACCTTCGTCGTATCTTCTATGGTCATGGATATCCTTATCTTGCACACAGTGTATAAGGTATACTTCGAGGCTACTTCTTATGCTTCATTTGGATTATGTTAATATTCCTAGAAAAAGTATAGTGTTCTTCGCGCCATTACTTGCTCGTTGAATAAATATACTATTATTGTCAAGTACATAATTTGATAATTAGTACTAAAGGCCTACGGGCGAGTTTCGCGGGTGCTTATGATCACAAAAGCCCCAGCGAATGCGCGCATCATGTGTTGCCTATTACCCGGGTGAAAGCAGGTGTTTTTCCCACTCATGTTTTTCGGAGCGTTTAGTCACGGAACGTGACGTAGTTTTCAATGAATCACATCGCCAGCAACGTGTCCGTTTCGAGACGGCCTGTCTGTCCGTTTGCCCTTTAATTCGATTTTGGCGATGCGCGCCGAAAGTAGATTGAAAAAAAGTGGCCCAACGTGCGACGCGTGTTTAGCATAATCCGGGTTGCTCGCTATTTTGCTACAGCGTAATTTCCCTTTTGGTTTGAATTGCGCATCAAACTGCGCACCACAAGAAACGGCATTCCGTCAAAAGAAGGGGAAAACGACTTGCGGAAGGGACGAAACTGTGTCCGCGGTGCGGAGGGGGGGAAAATGTGATTGTTCCTAACTTGTTTACCATCAATTAAGGAAACAAAACGGTCATCATGTCGTCCGTTAAGTGAAAAATGTCGAGGGTAAAGTGAGCCGCGCGATTTTCTAAATTTGTTTGAATGCGATTTAGTGAAGGGCGTGTGTGCGGGTACGTCACGCGCGCATTTGTTTAGACGCGCAGCGCCCATTGGTCGATACAGCTACAGCACACACGTGATGTGGCTGCTGTGAAGCGTGTACAACGAAGGGCTCACGACGGGGTGGTGTCCAGGTGTCGAGCACCTCGGTGTACTTTTCCGATTTGGCACATCCTAGTTCGAATGGTGAGAAGTGAAGGTGAAACGGCCGCGTCCTCTACGGATCTAAAGTCCCGCCGGATTCTTGCTCTCCTTACAGGTAACAACGACGGTTTGTCTTAAGTCTGCAGAAGGAAAAACGGGGCCATCATGAGATCGTACACAAAGGTGTCCGTTATGGCCACGTTATCCTGGCGAATTTAGCTCATATTGACGTACAGCGTTGCCATTAGTTTCATACGTAGCCCTTTATTTGAAAACAAATGACTATTGGGGTTGTTGCATGCGGACGAGAGCTTGTGGCGGTCGACTTGGAGCGCCAGATCAGCCCCTTGGATTAATTCGGGCGGTCTCTTGTTTATTTATCATATGTGCGAGAGAATTATTATTAATAACGTGATAATGATAGGACAACGTTGCAACCTACGGTCAATGTAGCAAGGTGTCTGGTGCACGCGGGTATTTGCATGGGAAATTCGACCTTATTGCCTTGGTGATAGTGACGCCGGTGTGTCGGTGTTGACCGCGTGAGGAGGTGCACGACGACCCACTACGAGTTAACCCGATAAAAGCACGTGTAGAAGGTAAACGTACTCCGTTTGCCACGTGGAGGGGCGTCGGTTGCACAGTTATAATACTACATTTACGTATTTCTTCTAATTAATTAAAATAAACAGCCATTCATGGCCTTATTAATTTCCCGCTGGTTTTACACGGAAATTATTCTTCAGGTCAACTTAGGACCACGAGGGGAACATGAGTTTGGACACCTTGCTTGAAGCAGCACGTTATTTGGAGTTACAAGAATTAAAAGAGCAACAACAAAGACAGGCCGTAGCTCCCATTGTTTCAAGCATCAACCCCCCGCCACTTGCAACACAACCCGTCGCAATTATTAAACCGATACAAGGTCAGTATTCGAATTATTATGCAACATCTTGTATATGCCCCTCTTGCAGAGGCCCCAATCGTCACGCATCCGCCCCTAACATCGCGAGTCATCCAAAACAGCTTCGACATCATCAACCCGCTTGTCATCGACGAGGGAGGCGAGCAGAAGCGCAAACAGCCCCCTCTGGTTTTCCGGTCGGGCACTCGCGAGGTGCACAACAAGCTCGAGAAGCACCGGCGCGCCCACCTCAAGGAATGCTTCGACTTTCTTAAGAAGCAACTGCCGACGCAGGCGGACGAAAAGAAGACGTCGAACCTGAGCATTCTGCACTCGGCGCTGCGCTACATTCAGAGCCTGAAACGTAAGGAACGCGAGCTGGAACATGAGATGGAACGGTTGGCGCGCGAGAAGATATCGGCGCAGCAAAAACTCGCCGTGCTCAAAAAGGAAATAGCCGTGCAGTGCGATAACGTCGATTTTAACGTTTTACTGCCGGAACCGGCGCCCGTTCCGCCACCCAACGAAACCAAGATGGTGTCGCCGACCATCGAACGAATTCCTCCGCTTCCCAAACCGCCAAACGGCGTTAAAGAGGTGAGAATTTATCGGATTGAAACTGAATTAACGTAGTCACGGAAACCCAGTGTTGGTGTTACCTAGCCACATTGCTAAAATGGTGGTTCCGATTAATCTGCGCTTCACAAAACCACCATTCCAATAATTGCTTTTATTTCACTACTAGCGTCTCATGACATGATTATTAACCTTTTTTCCACTTGTAAAGTAGGTTTTCTCGGCATTTGTTCAAAGTGGTTAATAATTTTTTATTATTAACTAGTAGTCAATAATGAGAACTGTCACGCTGTCACTTTTAGAAAACACAACCCGAAATTTCGCTCAATGAACGTTTAGACAAGTTCTCTAAAACGAATAATTGCCACCATTCGCAATTTCCAGAGAAATTACATACCTAAAATTATCACATTTTGAAAAAATTCGAACGAAATTGCTCTTTGAAAAATCTCAATGACAGAACAAAATACGGCCTGTTTGACTTGTACTTCCACGTACTTGATTGACATGTTAAATTAAGAAACAAACAATTCTGTCCAACCGTTAACTCTCTTATCAATATAATATGTTAATTTAGAGGATTTCAAGTGCTAGTAGTGAAAAAAATAGTATATATACCACGGTAGAGAAGTCTATTATTGCTTTCGCACCTTACACCCCTCGGCGCAAGCGCCTCGAGATGTAATCTTGGTGCTCAGGCAATAATAGTGGACTTCTCTACCTTGATATATAATGTACTATTATCAACCTTATTTCTTTAAGAAAAAAGTTTTTGCAACCAATATACATATAGTCACGCATTATTTAACTAAAATGGCCCAAATAACAAAAACGAGAGCTCTTAAAACGCATTTCTTGTAAGAACAAGTACACATGTTATAACAAAGGCCTCATCATGTCCAGTTTCATACATTACATAAACAGCGAAGCAAAATGAGGTTAATACTGGTTTGCGCCTTTGCATTCAACCTTCAACGTGTGTATTTACTTAGGTACTTCTAATAACCCAAAAATAAATACGAATCTTCCGAAAATGAGTTCAGAAATTTGGTTTACCGGTTACACCCCATGTGGCATGTGCTCGCTATTGGACTGGATCGTTCGCACATACAAATAATGCAGTATGGATGGTACTTATGGACATACAGTACCTACATCATACTAGTGCAGGGGTTAAAAGCCAAAATAGGTTTCAACCTTGCATTTTGTGATAACTTTATGAAACTTTCAGAGGATGTTCTAGACACCCTAAGGTTCAATTTCAGCTATGCCGCCACCCCCGTAACCCCGGACGGCACTTGCTATAGCGGGTTTCTTAAGCGCAAGGTAGCATTTCAATACCCGCCCATAAAATGGGTCAAAAATGTATGTCCAGGGTTTGTTTTGTATTTTCTTACATCTAGGAAGGTTGAAGGGAATTTTCAAATACCCAGGGAGAATTTATTTAGGGTATTTTACGTGGTTTGCCTATTTTTAAGGCACTTTTAACAGTGCGGACTAGGGAATACAATCCCGCAGCAAAATCTCAATCCCCGTATTTGCGGGATTGTTAGATGTTAATCGCGCGGGATCCCGGTATTTGCGGGATCTCGCAAAACTTTAAATAAATTGGCAAATACGCAATTCTGTATTAAAATAAATCGCTAATTATCACAATATTTAACAAAAAAGTACCTTCAGCCTAACTTAGAACTCAAAAAAACCTTACCTGTAAAGCACATAAAGTCTTCTAAAGTGCCTCAAAAATCATAGTACATTTTTAACGAAAAAAGTTTAACAATTATTTAAAAAATAATTCGCCGTTATCAGTTTCATTAACAAAGTAGACAGAGTCGTCCCCTTGGTCGACAAATTCCTCAGTCCCGCAAATCCCGCGGGATCCCGCTCCATTTATGTGCGGGATTAATCTCGCAAAAATGCTGCGGGATCCCGGTATTTCGGGATCCCGCAATCCCGGTATTGCATCCCTAGTTTCTAGTCTATAACTTTTGATTGAGAAGTCTGATCGAAAAAGTACGAATTGTTTTGGATTCTACGCACCAAAATTAATAAGAAAAAGTGTTTTCCCGAGAAATTTTGTTGCAGTCGATTTTTGATAAAAAAGGAAGGTTATACACTGCCTTTTTTTGAGCCCCGAAAAAAAAATTGTCTCAGATCGACCCGGAAAAAAATTTTCTTATAGAATGTGCCTGTAGAATCCATACTTTCAAACAGTTCCAAGATTGGGCTACTAGTTCAAAAGTTACAGCCCTTTGAATTTTCTTTCGAAATTGGTTTCTAGTAGGGAATGCAATCCCGCAGCAAAATCTCAATCCTGGTATTTGCGGGATTGTTAGATGTTAATCCCGCGGGATCCCGGAATTTGCGGGATCTCGCAAAACTTTAAATAAATTGGCAAATAAGCAATTCTGTGCGGTTAACTTCTGTATTAAAATAAATCGCTAATTATCACATATATTTAACAAAAAAGTACCTTCCGCCTAACTTAGAACTCAAAAAAACCTTACCTGTAAAGCACAAAAAGTCTTCTAAAGTGCCTCAAAAATCATAGTACATTTTTAACGAAAAAAGTTTAACAATTATTTAAAAAATAATTCGCCGTTATCAGTTTCATTAACAAAGTAAACAGAGTCGTTCCCTTGGTCGACAAATTCCTCAGTCCCGCAAATCCCGCTGGATCCCGCTCCTTTTATGTGCGAGATTAATCTCGCAAAAATGCTGCGGGATCCCGGTATTTCGGGATCCCGCAATCCCGGTATTGCATTCCCTAGTGCGGACAGTAAAATCGTGACGGAGACCTCTTTTGGCTGCTCTATTGAATATTATACTATGCTTTAAAGTATTTATTGAGACATTACAATGCTGAAAGGAAAGTTAACAATATCTACGGCACTAAAATTATTGAGCCCTATCTTGAGAACACTCGCCTCCGCAGTCGCACAATTCGGTGCAGGTCACATCGGACTTGACAAAGCTGCATCTTTGTGTGCAACCTTTCTTACATCCACATTTTACTAAGATTACAAAAGCTTCTAGAACTGGAGGTTTTAAAATCCAGACAGGCTCCCATTCTTGATCTTCACTCGAGTTTCTCCAACCCCAATCACATGGATCCGGAAGTTGCTGTTGCGCCAGGAGGCAATGTCCCCATACATGTCCTGCGAATGTATGTAGATTAAGTTTGTTTGTTGAATATGGATTCAATTGTAAATTCATTTATTCGCCTACTTACCGCCTCTCTTAAGAAAGGTTGCACACAAAGATGCAGCTGTACCAAGTCCGACGTGACCTGCACTAAATTGTGCGACTGCGGAGGCGAGTGTTCTCAAGATAGGGTTCAATAATTTTAGTGCCGTAGTTATCGTTAACTTTCCTTTCAGCATTGTAAAGTCTCAATAAATACTTTAGAGC